AGGACTAACATTTGTTTAACCTTTCAACGAAAGCTGCTGGACATGATTCTCCCTCCTCTCCCAGCAGCCGTAACCAATCCTAGATACAGCCCTATAGAGAGGAAGGAGCTTGAGAACTCCATCTTTCTCAAGCCGTCCCTGTGCGGCTCAATATTCCACCGATTTCACCAGCAACCTAAATATTAGGGACTCAGTCCAGCTTCTCACACCAACTAGAGCTGACCTATTGAATCAGTGCCTAGGAGGTGACCCAACAGCTGGAAGGCTATCACTGGATTCATGCCTGTATTTCATATTTAGTGTATTTTTTTCAAATTACTGTACGCTGGTGTGAAATCTCTAGATCTAAGCCAGTCGGAAATACTGCCATCGAAATACATAAACTGTTCAGAAACAACATTCTTGGGGGGGGGGGGAGATAACAAAAGCACCTTACCCCATGTCATAGATACAAATATATGTTTTTAAAATGGCATGGGGGAGGCTCGTTTCTTTCTCTCTCTCTCTCTCTCTCTCTTTTTTACTTGATTCTATTTCACATGGTAGTTATTATATTTCTAGTGGGCTTCTCTCTCCCTGGCCATCCAAGAACAGAGACGGGAGGACGGAGGCTGAATTACGCTTCACAGACGGAGCCAAAAGAAGTCCTGTTACTCTGTACTGATGTTAACTGGAGAGTCTGAGTTTTTACTGCTCATTTACCTGGACTCTCACTACAAATCCAATCTCCAGCATTGCCTCTACACGGCTGGTGGTTGCTTCTTTGAATTTCTGCTATCGGCTGCCTATAAAACCTGTGTATTTTGCCCAAGGGGAGAGGCAGATGTCTGAGCGGTACACAAAGCTGCACTTACAGAGCTGGAAATCTATGAGTCACTCTCCTCCCAGCCGACACAGCTTGGTGGAAGCTGACAGCTACACACTTAACAGTGACATATCAAAACTTGCCTCCGCCATCTTGGAAGGTAGTTGAACTCTGGACCTCACGGCTACAACACGGACCCAAAGGCCTGCCTGACCTTCCCCTTCTCTCCCACAACCCCTTTTAATCATCTAGCTTGATGGTGCGCCCTTCTGAAAAACCCCAAACTCGCTTTCCTGCGATGGGGTTACAGCGGGTCCCTGTAAAGGGATTCCCTGCTTGCGGATTCTAGGCTTCTTGTTTGCTCGACTTGTCAGCCTGCAAGAGGAGAAGGACGGTGCATTTTCGCCCGCTTGCAATGGACTGATTTGCTTCCGACGCAGGAAGAAGCTTTCTCTAAGTATCTTTAACTTCCGAAGCTCAGCTAGTTGCCAATCCCCGGAGACGGGAGTCTCTTTTCGACGTGAGTGGCCTAGAGGCGGCTAAGTTGAACCGCAGAGGCAGAGGAAGCCTCTGGGAGGTTGGTTACTCCAAAACCATCCTGGGCTGGATTTGACAACAGGGATGGTTCGTAGTGAACAACACTTCCCGGGCATGCTTGGAGAGCCCTGAGGAACCATCTGTTTCCCCCCCCCCAAGAAAACATCCATCGGTTGCTACAGAAGCAAGAAAAGGTTGGGTCATTAAGAATAAACTGGGTCATAAAAGTAACATATCAGGCATCCTTGTTGTCTTCGGCTACAAAGTTATGCACATTTCAACAACTAGCCCTTAAGATAGGCTACTCTACTAAACAACCTTAAATATGGCTGGGACCCACGCCGTCATTAAAGACTCCGGAAGGTCCACGGAGAATACGACAGTGAGGGCACGGCTGACACCTGCTCCGGCCAACCAGCCATCTTTAGCACAATGCTCTGAAAAGCCATAAACGGCAAAGGAAACATACTGTTTACTCGGAGGGCTTAATGGTCTATTCAAATTGCTTGCAAAAGCTGGCATCTCACCGGTAAAAGACAACAGCATTTAGATTAAAATGAATGGTATCTGTTCAGTGGAGCTTACCTCCACCACCAAGTCACCTGGCCTCGGCTTTACCCAACAATCATTTCAATGAGAGGTTTTGTTTACTGCTTAATTAGCCTCAACAGACTTGTAACTTTTTTCTGTTTTGTTTTGTTTTTTAAAGAAAAGGATCACTACCTCCTTTTTTGTGTCTCTGACTGAATGCCACTCTAAAACCCACAGCACACAACATTTCAACATAATCGTTTTGTTTCTGGCTAAACTTCTGAAATTAACTCAGCTTAAATAGCAATTTGGATTTGAATCGCCCTACTGGCTCAGAGAGATACTGAAGCATTTTTATGCTGCTGTTAAACAACTGGAACCTTGCCTCTCTATTGTCGAGGGTTTGGAAAAATCACGTTACAAGTAAGGTTGTTACATGAAGCAATTTACCTTGGGGTGGGGAGAACGCTAAGCTTCCTTCGAAAACTGCTTAATACAACTTAGTGCTTAATACAACAAAAGGAAATGCAGGCAGTTTATCAATGTAGCAAGTAATTTCCCAATTATTTTTAAAGTTACCCCTAAAGAGCCTGTTTTAGAGGCATTTTGATAGAAAATGATCAAGTTTTACGCCATCGTCTTGCTCAACTGACGAGTTAATCGTTAATTAACAAAAAAAGTAATAATAATAAGCAGCAGCAGCATGAGTAATCTGGCACATTACTGTTTAAAGACTGTAAATGGGAAGAAATGCCTTTCTAAAGTAAATTTCCGATTTCTGCAACTGTCAACAAATTTGGATCTCCCGTCTATCTTCTGACTGCCTCTGCTTTAAATTAACAGCAAACACCACCTAAATGCAGTTGAGAAATGGTGGGAGGGAACATCTGTTACAAAAAGTTCAGAACAGTTTTTAATGATGCTAAAAAATTTTAAACTATGAGGTCATGATCCCTGTGGATCTGTGATTCTGCTCACCTTCGCTCCCCCCCTCCGCCTCAAACCGCTTCCTAAATAGGCAAGCAATAGGATAAATAGATTGCTTACTGTAAGCAATAGAAAGTGACAAACTCCATGTTTTAAAAATGACATTTTAGAAGTGAGAGAACATCATGGTGTCCGTAGTGCCCTCGACATTAGATTTTCTGGACTCTTCTCAGAGGAGAAGCACCTCGGTCAGCCAAACCATATTATCAAGGGACACCATAAACGCCATCCTTCCACTTGTGTCAAAGGCCAAAACACAGACCTGCTGAAACAGCGTTTAGTGGAGATTACAAAGTGAGGGGCAAAGGGAAGAGACAAATCCCAGCCTCAATTACAATTCTGGTCTCTCGCAGACAAAGCAGCATCATGCTGATGCGACAATGCAGGATCATGTGGTGTGGGGAAAGCATCTTGAAGGATAGTTCCCACACTAAATCTTCAAGACGGAAAGGGTGGGGAGTGGGGATAGAGAGGGTCCATTCACCAAAGCCTTCTCTGCCTGCAAAGGCTTACGTGACAAGTTCTAGCCACAGAAAAAGGGAGACAAAATCAGGTGTGTGTGGGCGCACAACCCCTTCACACCTTGGGAGGCCTGGCCAGCAAAGACATGATTGAATGGGCTTGCTAGAATGCATTTGATTGGAGTGGTGTACTGAAATGGGGCTGCCAGGATCTGGATCTATTTCAGCATGAAAAGCTGGCGCACGAATCAGTAATGAGACACCAAATCTAATCATTGCCATACTGAAATACTATTTCTGGAAGAAGGTTAATTTTGCTCACTGGAGTGGATAATAACAGTAAAATATAGGAACGCTGGCTATATGGGATTAACCTTGAGTCAAGGAAAGAGACCAGCTTTCAAACGCAGGAGGTGTGTGTGTGTGGGGGGGATATGAAGGGTGTACTTAAATGGAAGTGGGGAAAATTAACAATGCCTGAATTTTTACAATGACAGTTCTTTACTTCTTTCTGTGCATTTCTACCTTGGCTTACTGTCATCATAGAACTCAAGACACATAAGGGATGGCGAGGTAATTTGTCATTCAGATGTCAACCAGAACTCGGCCTGCTTAGTCATGGCTAGATAGCTGTTTTCGTGTCTCCTCGGATCAGGACTTGAACATTTACTTTATGGGCCTAAATCCATTTGTTAATCCTAACTAGAACAGATCCAGTGGCTTAGATCCAGTCACTTGGCAACTCAAGAGTTTTTTTTTTAAGTTTCACTGATTTGATGGATCTACCCTAGTAAGTGAATATAAAGCCTGGAAGCACAATTCTCAGAATCCTTTTTCTCCAATTCTGGAAACCGTTGTCCAAAAAAAATTAATTATCCTGTGTTCTTCCTCAGAGTGCATCTTTTGAGGTCTCTAAACTACTTCTGAATAGTGCACATTTTTAATTAAAACAATGTAAGGCACCTGGGAAAAAAGCTTCCTGTTTTCTCTGAGTAAATCTGAAATCCTATTTTCCAAAACTAGTTTTTAAATGTTGGGTTAATGGATGCTTTTTGAAAAATGAAAGGAAGTGAGACACAGCATGGGGGTGAGTAACAAACACTATAATGTATTCCAAAGCCTGCCTCCCCATGCAGGCAAAAATAAGGGAATAAAAAGAAAGAAACTAGGGCCAAATATTGTGCCCTCTAAAAGACTATCAGATCCCTTTCAGTTGCTGAAGCAAAGTGGACTTTGATCCATGAAAGCTCACACTGATGCAAACCTTTTCATTTTGAAAGTGCTATGTATTTTGCCTTATTTCTCCCCCGACCCCTTTTGTCACAATATTTTGTAATATCACATATTAAAGGCAAGAATTACAATTGTATACAGGAATCACACTAAATTACAGGCAAGATGAGCTTGAAGCAATGCAACCGGCGTTTTCGACACACACCATTTCAATCAGAGGGCCTTCCTTGCGCAGTAACACTCTTTACCGCAGCCCCATGATCAAGTTGTCAGGAAGAAAACTGGCTGAAGTGAACATGCAGAGGGACTGAAATTAAAGTCTCAGTGAATTTAGCAGCCTTCCTAGAAACTAAAGAGCAAGCAAGCCTAGTCTTGCACCTCGTTCCTAATTAACACCTAAGTAAGTGTTCAGTAGCTAAAAGCAGCTAAGCAGCTTGTAAGAGCAAAAGGTGCGCCCCTTAACAGCAACTAATTAACTTGCAAAGGAAGAAGATGATCACAATTCATCTCTTGGAAGAGCAGTGCACAGTAAAACAGTTCTCTCTCTCTGTGTGTGTGTGTGTGTGTTGTGGATGCAAAGAAAATTGCATGTATTTATCTGAGAAAGCAATATGGGGGGAGGGTTTGGGACCTATTTGCAATTTGGAAGCAATAATTTCTGATGAGGGAGCTACAATAGCTTCACATTTCTCCCCGCTTCTGTAAACAAAACAAAACAAAAGCTACTGCCATTTTAATTTCCAAATGCCATTTAGTGGAGATGAGAAAATTCGGATTTCCAAATCTTGATAGACATCTACATCAGACCCGGTCCAAATCGGCTTAAACCAAATCTGGCCCAAATCCAAACTAGATCTGACACCAAATCGGGGACCTTTACATAGCTCTAATTACCCTGCTGTTTAGCTTCTTCTTTACACTGCCTTTGAGTGCAAAAGATATTTCTGCTGCCTTATTTCTCATGCAAAATGAGTAATCGAAACAGCAAAAAACGGAACTGTTCAAGGCACGGTCTATTCAAGGAATAAGACAGGCGTAAGCTGACAGCATGAGGTCTAAGGAAGTTTAAAAGCAGTGCTTGTTACCGGTCGGAAAGAAATTCGGATTCTGTCCGTGAAGGTAAACTAGCAATAAGCCGGAGATATCAAGGAAAGAAAATATAGCACCATAAAGCTTTGAAAAACAAACTTCACTTTAAAGCTTTGTTTAGGGCCTTATAAAACGATGCATCCGTGTAATGCTGTAAAACTGGAAGGGTTACACTGTGTGCTGTGCTCTCCCTTTCCCCTGTCTTGAATGTAAAAATTCGTGGCACTAGCTGTACACAGCTGCTGAATACCTGAAGCTTTAACTTCAGAGGGGGGGGGAGTGAAACTGGCAATCTACAAATCACTCCGGCTGCCTTCCTCCCCCCAACTTGATGGGAGGCACCAGTTTAAGCACAGAGGCACTGCCTTAAGTGGATTGCGAATTACTGCTTCTGCGTGAAAGGCAACTGAATGGAACATCCCATTTCTAATTGCCATGGCAACTAATTTAGATCAAAAGATGAATGCAGAGCTAGAGAAGATGCATTGTCTCACCCCAGAAGCGCCCCTAGATACAGGCCCCAGGTACGTGGTCTATAATTCATTGCCTATATTGTGTGACCGATGTTCCAGCACAGCGTTAAGGCAGCTTAACAATCCGAAGTGCCACTGGGAAAACAACATAAGCACAGCACTAGACGAGAGCTTAAATTACACAGGATTTACCACTGGGAGCATCCAATGATGGAAAAAATAACACCTGCCAGGGGAATGTGGGCTTTACCAACTGACAAAGATGCCAACCCTCTTTCGGTATTAAATCCTTCCATTGACTGATTTGCTTTCATAATCCCGGCTCAAGCCACAGGTGCATGATAGGTAACAAAAGAGACAAGGAGAAAGGAGAACACAACCGCCACAGCAAAACAGGGCGAATTTCGTCGAGATATCTTCTGAAACACCTCCATCCTCTACTGACTAAAGCAGCAGTTCTACACAGGTTTCTCTTGGAGTGAGTCCACTGAACTCAACAGGACTTCCACTGTACTAACGTGTGGACATTAATACAATAGCACAGTTAATTCTGATCACTGAAAGTTGAGCCCAAGCACTCAAGTTTATTGCTTAAAATTCCAACGTTTCTACTGCCAGGGAGCGAAAAAGAGGACTTTTCTGCTTTAGGAGCCAAAATAAAGGAGTTGGCTCCGGGTTCTGTGTATCCTGACTGGGGTTACGCCTGCTGTTCCAACCCAGTTTTAAAACAACAACAACAAAATGAAATAGAAGATTCTCGGGCCATCCCAGAGCAGCACCTTGGCCTGGGGATGCAAATCTTCACTGACTTTATTTTTGCAATTAAGTATCAAAGGATTCAAATGTATTCTTCCAACCCACCAAGATGAACACAGCTTTTCTGCATTTGTCACATTTCAAGGCTCTTCTATATTTGTGGAAGTGTATTTTGCACAAAACTCTGCATTTTGCACCTGAAACAAGGTGTCCTTGCTGTTGTTTTCGCAAACCACACGTACTTGGTGTGATGGGCCCCACCCACTGTTGTTGTTCTTGATGGTGGTGTTATTTTGCTAATGCTGCTGCTAAAGAAAAGAAACTGTTTTCTTTTTCGTGGTTTTGTTTTCTTTTTCTCTTGTGCAGGTTCAAAAAACCTCATAGCCATTGACAGCTTTTTCGGGAGAGTGCCCCTAGGTGTCAAAGTACATTTTTTTAAATGAAGGATGATAAAAACTGCATGTCTTCCTCACATCCTTACCTTGAACTTGGGAGTCAAAGGAGCATCCTGGTGCATTATGCTTTCCAGTAGCTCTTGGTGGAGAGGAATCCTATTCTGAACCTCAAAATAACATTAATATTCTCCACACAGAGTATTTGCTTTGAGGAGTCCCCCCTGGTTCTGCTTGTGTGAGGGCCCTTATATTAAAGGAGGCAAAAAGCAACCGGTCCCTCCAATCTCCTTGCAACTGAGTAAAAAAGAACCTTGTCTACTGACCCCACTCGTATCTTCAGCATGCCGTTAAATAATTCTGGTGAGTTGGAGATAATCCAGCCAATATGAATGACAAGTTCCTGCTGAAGAACAGCCTCCCTCTCATCCTGCAAATTACACTTGTGGTAGATGATGTTCTTAATTGCGCCTGGAGACAAGGGATTCGATATGATTTCTTCTTCCTGGCCAAATGCCCCAAGAGTCACCTAAAGGGACATATGAGCAGCAATTAGAGTTATAACGTGAGACAAGGAAAGAGTGAAGGGGACTTTATTCATTATATCTTCTCAACTGAACTCACCCTGTTTGCAACACGATTGGATAGAGGACAGGATAATTAGCTCAGCGAGTTAAAATACCCACTGTTGATGGGTAAGAGGAGTTTTACATGCTTTTCCGTTATTCTGCATTAAAACAGCGTTGCACAACAAAAAAGAAGCATCCGAATAATAACTCATAAGAGTGCACATTCAGAAAGAGTCTGGATCTGCCCTGTTGCTTCCCGCTGATGAGAACTGTTTGGGAAAAATAAAAATGTAAAATCCCCCTCTGTTTTTTGGTGGTGTGGGGGCACAATCATTCTCCACGGCTATCACTGGGCGCAATTCAAGGGTTGCTAGGCTGGGAAGGGGGCCAGCCCCACATCCACAGAGACCCAGTTCACTCTAAACTTCCTGCTGCTCTAAATTCAGCTTCTTGGGGAATGAAGGGAAGAACCAAATAGGGAAGTATGGGGAGCGGCTTCAAGGTGTTTTATTGCCTGGAGCAAAATAAGAGAAGGCACACTCCCCCCACCTTGATTCAACGGTACAGAAGCCAACTGGAGTAGCAGTTGGATCTTACTTCCGCCTAGATGAGAGGACACCCTTTTCCAACCCCCTTGAGGCAGCGGCCCCGTTGAAAACACACAAAAATGCTCTCTCGCAGAAGGAAACGGCTAGGAATCCTGCCAGACACACTCCTCTGACAAGGGAGCTCCAGCATCTGATAGCTGAGGTGTCTACTTACACTCTGCCCAATAGCAAGCCTTTCCTGGGGCAAAATAAATAAAATTCAGATAACAAGTGCATATATTACATTTACTGCTAATAAACTGAATTCATCTGGGATACAGCCTCTTGAAGCCACAGAGAGTTTGAATGGTGACTTCCACCGTATCCTCCTTCTTGCATTTTAATACGCTTCTTTAAACTGAATGGTGAAACTGATTAGCAAGACCTCGTTTCCACGACATAAATACGCATGCAGCCAGTGCCGTCATAATCCTGCCTGTCCCTTGAATGATAACTAAAGGCTCGGTGGATCCTTTCCCCCCTCAGTCCTTTCGTTCACATATGCAAACCACCAGCCGTGATTTGACTACGGTTATTCAGTGCGTTTACACTATGGTTAACTTCTGGACTGTTCAGGCCAACCCAGCTTCGCCTCCCAATAGGAGGAGGCAGTACACCATCTAGCCGTTGGTTCCTCTCACAATTTTCAAGGGACAGACAGCATCACGTCTTCACTGGTTTGTCCAAAGCAAAAGAACAGCCAAATCCCAACAGGAGCAGCCAAAGCAAAGGGAAACCAACAGCCAAACCATGCCACGTTACGAGCATCAATGAGGGTGAGCTCCCAAAGGGCAAAGTTCTTTCTGTGAACAAACCCGTCTAAATTGCCTTTGGTCAAGAAACGAATGAGGTACCATCAAATGGAATGAAAACATTTACATTCCCCTTATCTTGACTGGCCATCCCTACCTTTGAGGTGATAAAACTCTACAAAGTCTGGATTCTTTTATGACGGAGCATTGTTACAAAAAAAAATCCTTTCGCCATGATTGTGAAATCAAGTTTCGAAAGCAGCCCTTTTCCTGTGCCTGACCTTGCCAGTCTTCTTAACATTAGCTGGGACTCGATTAAATGCTTTAATGATGGTTTTGGCCCCATAGAAGTTGCCAGAAGCTGCTGTCACTCCTTCCCTAGCACATGCTTTGAATCCCTTCTGGATGCCGATGAAATAACTGGGCAATGCTCAGCCAGACTTTGTGAAATAGTATTCAAATTAGTTTCTTCATTCTAACTGGGATAAATTCCTACATTCCTTCTTCACAATCTTTTTACAGAGGGAAAGGAACGAAGTGGAAGACCAAAATCAATTTTTAAGGCTGCTTAAGGGGAAATCAGCAAGATGTTTGCACAGACTTGAAGGAAAGGTTTTACAGAGTAGTAGAAAATTATCTAGGTGTAATCAAACTCATTCTATTCTCTTATGCAAGGAGGATTGGAAATCTGAAGCTCGTATTTTGCCTGTTTAACAATTCTGAAAAATACAAACTTACCTGTTTGCCCTGAACTAAAACATTAGTAATAGATGGCGCAAGGCTGTCCACTACTTTACATAAGAGACTTGCTGCGAAGCGCACAACAGACCTGAGGGCAGAAAACAGAGCAATCCAGGTAGATGTCAACCACAAGTTTGATGAAGTCAAGACGTTGATTGAAGGCTGTTGCCCTATGCGATGATACAGTACATCTCTAAGCATTAAACATTTGACCTCTATATGAGCATTTTGGACTTGAGTTCTGTCTCCCTATAAGATCTTTTCAGGGAACAGGATAAAGCTTGAATTATTTAATCACAAATGGTTGTGCTGGGGACTCACAAAACTGCATAATACATTATAAACCATTGCAGCTTTTTTCCCCTCTGACATCATCAGTGAGACGGCTTGATTAAAATTAGGTAAGCAACAAAAACGTTACTGCTTTAGACCGCCTGGGCAATTTGTATTCAGTAAAAATGTTCTCATGCGTGGGTGATTGGGATTTTATTTTTAATTTATTTTTTTTTTTGAATACTCAGGCATTTCAACCAAAGTGCACTGTTTTGCCTTTTTTGTTTTTTGCAAAGGAAATCAATGCCCTTTGCATTTCTCAAGAGGCATCCTGAGAGAGCAGATAAGCAGTTTTTTGTTGCAAGGGGGGAAAGGACCCTGGCATGTAAAACAAGTTAAAGACCATGTGACAAATTTTCTAGCCAAAAAGCAAACATTAAAATACCCCACGTGACATCTCATGAAAACAGTAATTTTCAACATCCAATTTTGAACAGCACTTATGAAAAGCAGCCATTTTTAATGGCATATCCACATGGGCCCCTTCTTCTCTTATTAATGGGCACTGAAAGATGTATCACAGAATCAGTTGACACTGGATGGAAGTTGACACTAACCAGACCAGGTGACCAGATGTGCAATCAATCATATGCAGACAATACAATCACAGCATGAACATCATGACACGAACCTTATGGCTTCTTATCTCCACATCTTAGAAGGAATAAATGTGCGTCTACAAAGAGGCAAAGTCTACACTCAGCAGCTCCTCATGGTATAACCGTTGCTGGACTCTCTCACCCCCTGTGGTAGAAGCTCTTAAGTGGAAGTATCAAGCTACCTATACCTTTAGCAGCCTTCATGCATGTAGACCAAGGGTTTGATGAAGTGCGCTCCTCCAGTTGTTGTGAGGGTCATGATTCTCATCAATCCATACCATTATCGGGTCTGCGACCATACACTAAACGCTGATTGAACAGTCCACGCGGCTGGCTTTAATGGACAGGTCTAGCTGTGCACCACAATCCAATGACATCTGGAGAGCCACCTGTGATGAAGCCTTTCCTCTAGAGGGACTTCACTGTCCTAAGGGCAGTGAAACCAGAGTTCTTTCTACCACTTCCTTCTCCCATATTCATCCCTCCAGCATTTGCTCCTGCTCCCAAGCAACAGGAGACTGCGTGGCCCAGAATGTGGCCAAGGTGGCAAAAGATGGGCACTTGGATCCACCACTGGATTCTTCACAGGTACACAGCCTGCCCAGAACAGGAGCCTGTAAGTGGGCTCTCTCCATCTCACAAAGGCTGCTAGGTCTTGGGCACGCAGGACCTTTGAGAAGCCACGATTTAATATTCCCCCATCCCGCCCTCCTCAAGAACCTCACTGAGTCCTATCTTTAATCCCACAATAATATAGGGGGATAGACTATGGCAGTAGGAAGAGGAGCAGCAGACGACAGCTGTACCTAGGTACGTACTACTGTATAAGCATCAATATAGGTTCTATATAGGTTCTATATAGGTCTATGGATGTAACCAAGGGATGACAAGAGAACCATGTAAAGTGCTGGGGTTAAAAACGGGCTGCACTTTTTAAGAGTGACTGGATAAGAACATAACTTTTATTGCAAATGAAAACAAAATAAAACTTTATTTCTGTTTTCTGAAATAACACAGATGCAATAAAACCGAATGTTTCACATTGCCTAACACAAGCCTTTTAAGCGATACCATAATTTATCAGGAGAGTTAATGAATGCGTATGTATGAAATAGCACCAGGTTAGCACAAAATCCATCAGCTAAACTGAGGATGACTTCCATGACAACGGGTGAAAGCACACACTCTTGAAAATCAAGCGCAAAGCATTACGAGAAAGAAACCGAACCAAACTGAACAAAAGCAAAATACCATCAAAATGCAAATCAGCCTGTACGTCTCAAGCAGCGCTGTTTCAAACCTCGGTGCACTTTACCTGCTTCCCGTGGACTACCACAGTTGTAATGTGGGGAGCTAAAGAGGAAGCGAATTTCTGCATATATGCCGCACTGCAGCGTAGCACCAACCTGGGTATGGCATACGGGAATTATGAAAGAGGAATTCAGAGGAAACCAGTTTTTCCACACGGATTCTGCATAAAACATTCCAGGTACACTTTGGAGACTCACCACTTCCAAACATGGAGGCCACTACATGAAACTCTGCTGCTGAAAGACCCACTACGTTGACACAATGAAGTATGCAGTGCTTGGTTGTTGTGGGTTTTCTGGGCTGTTTGGCCATGTTCTGAAAGTTTTTCTTCCTAACATTTCGCCAGTCTCTGTGGCCGGCATCTTCAGAGGATGGGAGTCAGAACTCTGAGGATGCCGGCCACAAAGACTGGCGAAACTTTAGGAAGAAAAACCTTCAGAACACGGCCAGAGAGCCCGAAAAACCCACAACAACCCTTGGATCCTGGCTGTGAAATCCTTTGAGAATACATGCAGTGCTTCTTTACACATTTTGTTATGGAATCCTCTGATACAACGATGGCTGTACATTTAGAGAGAGCTGTGCTTTTTTGAAGGATTAAAGGAGACTTTCTTGGTCTGGACCCCTCTAGGCATTCTGCTCTATGAACTCCTATCAATGTAACATGGCCAGCGGTCAAGGATGATCGGCACTGTAAGCCAACACATCTGGGCTGAGCAGGCTGATGAAAGGGGGCTTAGAGGAGAAGGCTGTGACAGATCAAAGGGACTCCAGGTACAGAGTTGATACCTTTTGAAATACAGGATGCTAAAAAGACCAACAAACAAGGGGGAAACAGCCAACAGCCTGATGCCCTGGGAGCATCCAGAGATATCTGGCCAGCCATGGCTACAAAGTCAACAATAAGCCAGACAGATCCAAGTCAAGGGATTCTCCTTGGTCTGACCACTGGCTGGATTACTTGAGAGTCTATCTATTTTGTTCTGTCCCTAGACTGAAGCAGGTTTTCGAAAAGAGGTTGCTAGATACCTTTTCTTGCACAGCTGGAAGGGGAGAGAAGGTATTACAGGAATTCTAATCAAAGCCTGAAGGCGGAAGCTGAGAACATGGAACCGAACGCTAGCTTGAGCAAATTCTTTTCTCATAGAGCTTGCTGGATAATTCTAAAGACACCAGGGGAAAGGCTGACATGGGAAGTAAAGCATTATAAAGAATGTACGTAACTGGATGTGAATTGCAGACGACATCCATGGATCTTTTTAAAAAAAGAAGAACTTAAAAAGCTTAGCTAACATAATTTAACAGGGGAATAACTTCCAGAGTGCAGGAAAATCCTTAACTGCTGTGCAGCAACCAGGAGGGTTGTTTTTAAAATAAGGCATATAAATAGCCAATTTACTTCCTAGTTATTTGCTCTTTCTTTTAACAAACACTCTAATTCTACTGTAACATTCCATCTATCAGCACTGTTGCGATCTCCTGGCACTTATTTTCCAGAATCGGCATTCGGGTATGTAGGATAAGAATCTCCGGGTATCTGGAATTCAAGAGCTCCTGGGGTTCCAAAAGGAATCAAGCCCCTCTATGCAGCACAGAATTCAAAAACGGTGATACACAGAATTCAAAAGCAAGACAACAGGAAGCCAAAGGATGCTATATACAAACCAGAGCTTTTTGCTGCCAGCTTTCTGATAGATTCTTTCAATATGGTCAGACACTGTACCTAATTCACACGTAACATGAAGAAGAGACCAAGAGAAAGAGAGAGAGAGAGAAGAGGGAAGTCAGTTACAGTGCAGGTGTACAGGGAACTTGATAATTTGCTCATTTTGTTCCAGAATGTAAGGGTAGCACTAGGAACCTTATGGCACAGTGGTTAAACTGCAGTATTGCAGTGAACACTCCGCTCGTAACTTGAGTTCAATCCTGGGGTCAGGTAGCCAGCTCAAGGTTGACGCAACCTTCCATCTTTCCTAGGTCAGTAAACTTCTGGCATAATCAAACTGTAAGCCACCCAGGGAGACCTTTAAGCATTATGGGGTGGTTAATAGCACTAGGAACCTTATGGCACAGCGGTTAAACTGCAGTATTGCAGTGAACACTCCGCTCGTAACTTGAGTTCAATCCTGGGGTCAGGTAGCCAGCTCAAGGTTGACGCAACCTTCCATCTTTCCTAGGTCAGTAAACTTCTGGCATAATCAAACTGTAAGCCACCCAGGGAGACCTTTAAGCATTATGGGGTGGTTATATAAGCAGCATATTTTGCTTTACTCATTCTTCAGGATGCAGGAAAGGCCTGGTAGTTACCTTCTCCCATGGAGTGGGGAGAATGTTGAAACATCAGCGCTCACGTTAATCTCCTAGGTGGATTTCTCTCAGAAAACAACAGCTATAGGATCAGGTTTCCTTCCCGGTTTGTAACCCACAACACTGTCCTGAACGCCTGTAAACTAGCACTAAGTTCTGCAGTTTAACTCTGGAAGAGTAGCTAAGCCTACCAATATTAAATATTTGTAGCGAGACTTTGCACCGTGCTGGCTGTTTATGACTGCTTTGAGAGTTTAGTACATGCAGCTGTTGATAAACTTCCTCTGAAGCTTTGATTCGCACAGCTTTTTAGAACTGGGCCACAGTGATAATTACACTGGCCATTGTCAGAGAAGTTAAAGATGCAAGTGACCGGTGGTCCTGAGCCCCACTGCTAACAACTGCAGTGCAGATTTTCACTGCAACCCTATCAGAAGATTTCAATACTAATTCCATCATCTTATTAGTTCCTTCCTTCCTTCCTTCCTTCCTTCCTTCCTTCCTTCCTTCCTTCCTTCCTTCCTTCCTTCCTTCCTTCCTTCCTTCCTTCCTTCCTTCCTTCCTTCCTTCCTTCCTTCCTTCCTTCCTTCCTTCCTTCCTTCCTTCCTTCCTTCCTTCCTTCCTTCCTTCCTTCCTTCCTTCCTTCCTTCCTTCCTTCCTTCCTTCCTTCCTTCCTTCCTTCCTTCCTTCCTTCCTTCCTTCCTTCCTTACTTACTTACTTACTTACTTACTTACTTAGAAATAATCCCCTGTAGACAGGAAAACAGGAAGCAAAACTTTGCTTTAGCCATCTTCCCGAAATTAGGAGCAAAGCATAATAAATGAGACTTTTGAACTGGCTAGCAATTGCGCTACACAAATGTTTTGGCTGGTAATCTCGTTTTTTATTAGCCGTGCAAGGGAGGACATATTTCCCTTGCATGGACACACCCTCCCTCAATGAGGGTGAAGCGCTCTGTTGTTAATTATTTAATAATTTGGTGGTTTAACTTAGTTATTTCATAATCATGCCATCATTTTTAAACTACCAGCAACACTGAGATAATGGGCTGGATCCAAGATCTGCCATCTGCTAACAGAAGATGCCTCTACATCATCCCTTCCCTCGTGCTATATTTTCCAAGAAGCTGGAATTGATGCTGGGGAAGTAAGAAACATCCCCACCTGCATCCCCTTAGATCCGGATCTAAATGAATCCAATATATCTACAAAGAAAAGTGTCGTAAGAGATCACACAAGCTCCAAAGCTCACAGATAATGCAACCTGCCTTCCAGCTTCCCCTTAACAGATGAGACCTATTTCTCTCTCAAACTGCATGCTCAGAATTATAAAGAGGCAGCATATGGTATGGAGACTACTTAAAAGAGTTAATACATTTAACGGTTCATTCCACTCATGTACAAATGCCTGTTTCCCATTTAAAATAGAAAGTGCTTTAATGGAGAGGAAAATAGCAACACAACTTGCAGTGGGCATGTCCATTATTCACGTTTGTCAAGAGACGGGCACAATTGCCTGCTGCAAATCATACCTTCCTTGGTGATGAAATTCGGGCCTTCCCTTTTGAGCAAAATGTTCAGCAGAATGGCTTGGCTTGCTAGGCAGTTGCAGTCCTGATCAGGAAGGGCCATCGGGTGTAAATCAATAATAAACAAAAGTCAATGTTAGAAAGGAAAGGGGGGGAAAAAACCCTGCCGCCTTACAGCTACAGAACAGTGTGTATATGTCTGCTCTTTTCAAACGCTAACCTTCTAGCTCAGCTTTTCCATGAATGAAGAATGCTAACTGAGAAGTGGCCTAATTCATACAACAAATCTGGGGGGGATCACAAGGCAATCTGAATTGCAACTGATACTCCATTGCTCTAAACCTTTCATGCAGCTGTGGATCATGGGCTCCCAGATTCATGAAGGAAAAGGGGGACCCAGGAAAGGAAGTGTTTCTTTCTAGAAGCTGGTCCACTTCACCTGTCTCCAGGTTTCCCCTTCTCCTGCTCTAAGACTTATTGTGCCCCCTGAGAATAATATCAGTCTCCATCCACCCACTCATCGGACAATGTCTTCAGCAAACGGTGTGCTTCCAGAGAATCGCACAGGAATTGTTCAAGGAACTTTCGTTTTTCCTCCTCTAGACTTACATTCAACTTCTGAAGAATATCGTAAGTCGGCTTGTTTTTCCAATCGCTAGCGGTGATATCTGGCTGCTGTTCCAATTCAGTCACGTTGGGTGTGCTGGTTTGTCTCTTGACTTTTGAATGTTTCGGAAGTTCCAGCTCCTCTAAACTCCTAAATTCTGGAGGTCTGCAGAAAGAAATAATTGAAGTCTCTAAATCCAGTGCACCCTGCAAGGATCAACCTTTCTATGATTTCAGATTATGAAAAATATTAATCTGAGCAGTGTTTTGAGATGCTGCACATTAACGTTACCCAGGCATTGTGATTTCAAGCATACGTACTCCTCTGTATCACTGATTCTTAAGAAATCCAGTTGTTCAACCACTGCTCCAGAAATTAATGTCTGAAACAGAAGAGAAAGGGAGAATGAGAAATAATAATATGTAGCTATGATATTTTCGTTTCTGTGCAGGATGATCCAGCAAGTGTACAAAGCCTGCTGCTTTGCTGTAGAAACACCGCCATCTTTAAAGAAGAAAATGGTGGAGGGGTACGGGAGGCTTTGCTGTGGACGCAGACGGGGTTGATGGTTCAAGGGCAAGGAGAGATTTAGAGAACTGTAGAGGTAGAAGGGGTCATCAAGTCCAAACCTCTACCAAAGCAAGAAGACCATGCTCACAGCACCCTGACAGATGATCTAGACTTAAGAGCATCTGACACATCCAAGCTCTGTTAGAAAACCACCAAGCCACAAAGGAGGATCTACCATCCCCTCCCCACTTGGGTCCAAATCTCCTTTCTTGGCCCCTCTGGTCCCCAGTCTTGAGGAGGCATCACACTGGGGCACTCCCCCACGCCAGTCTCACTTCCTGGAGAGTCAACGTGGAGCACATGTTGCATCCAGGTCTTCGGTAACTCATTTGCCAGGCGGAGCTGCTTGAAGATCAGGGCTTAAGGAAAGTGAGCAGGAAGGTTCTTCAAAGGCAGGACCTCTTTGCCAGGTGTGAGAGAAGGAAAAGGCCCAAACAGGTTATCCACTGAGGATGATGGACATCTGCCTCTAGAAGTAAGGCTCTGACTTGAGTCCAGCAGATGCCACTGTCTCGGAAGGCTGGCTTCCTGATATTTATGGGTAATGTGACCATTTTCATTTCTCCTTGCTATGAGATGCTCATCTATGGCTTTATTTTTCTTTTTTGTTTGGTTTTGTTTCACATTCCATCTTCTCCCTAAACCCTTCATCTGAATCTTCTGCCCAAATATTTATGTCCTATTAGAGAACAACATTGCACTTCTTTTTATTAATATTTTATTAAATGGGGGTATTGTTTGCTATTAATTCATTGAATATTCATGTAAATCTGCTAGGGAAAATGTGTTGCAGGGAGGCAATTTTAAAGCCTAAAATAAGTTTCCCAGCAGTGGTGGTCACAGATATCAGTACAGTGAAACATGAAATTTATATAGCAGAATGTATTTAGAGAGCAACCCTGTCAGAACAGGAAACAAAAGCAAATGTGAGATATTGTTGTTTCTTGGCCTTTTATTTTTCTTCATTATTGCTAATGCTCTTCTCTGTTTAACTTGTATAATCGTCCCCTGAGCACAAATGATGCTGCAAATCCGAAAAGTATTATGGCCAGGATGGGAAACCTTATAAATTTTGTAGCCAAAACTGGATGCAAATATTTTTATGCAAAGCTTGCAAGCAAAGATTATGCAGCTTTTCCGTGAATTAACATCTAAAAGCCTAACTGAATATATATCTTGCCATCTGCATACAAATGCAGGAGCTGGAAGTAAATTATGAACACGTTGTATATATATATTCCCTTTAACATATAACGCATTATCGGCATTTCATCATCTCAATGTTTCAGTTTTGCCTCCTTGCTTTAATGAAATGGACAATATCCAAAACATGACACAGGATTAATTCAGGAAATTAATGTTTAAGCATTAGCAAAGGGAAATGCTGTGTGATTAAAACATAATGATCTTAGTGTTTTAGCAGTCAAAGATCAGGTCGATGGATATAGTGTAGCCCCAGCAACAAGTCCAAAATTAAATGTCATGGATTTTGCTATCACATACCTATGCCGCAGTGAAGTAGTCAGGAAGTGGATAGATGGATAGATGGGTGGGTGGGTAGGTAAAAATAAGGACTCATAACAGCAGGCATTTACAAGGAACAGGGTGCCCAAACAGACAAAGGTGGCTGGACAATATCAGCCTCCATGATTGCTAGGTAGTTAGAAGCCTCTGGATTGGCCAAGTCTGGTATCCAGTCAACAGTCTTCTACGTTTACATGGCCAAAAGAGCAGAACATCTTATCATTCTACTGTAGGATCCAGTTTGCACTTCAGGCTCGTAATTTCAAGGACTAGTTACTGGAGACTGTATCCTCCAAGTCTAGATCTGGCTATCTTTATCTAGCAGATTTGACACAGCAGTTTCCTAGTCTGCCCTTATGTATTGTTGCACCTTCAATCCTCTCCTCCGTGCCCTCCATCAAGCACAGAGGGATGGAATGAATGAGAGAGTCCAACTCTCTCTTTTGTGCGGAGAGACCAGGAGAAGAGACATCGGAAGACTCTTACTCTCTACCCAGAAGGAACTCCTGTTTTCTCACCTGTTCAAAAATGCCAACAGCAGTGAGAGTTGAGATGAACAAGATGCCACGGAGCCTTGTAAAATGGCTCAGAATACCCATGGGATGTAAGTACGCCATGGGGAGCACCGGCAACCTAGTCAGCTGACTCCTGGCTCCAGGACTGTTACAGAAACTACAAACCCCAATGGGAAGAACGCTGTAGGGAGCTCTCCCGTGCAGAGTTTAGGACAAGGGAGGCCAACATTTGGAGTCCTCGGACTCCAACTCCCATCATGTCATAGCCAGCACAGATGCACACTGGGAATTGCAGCCCAACAACGTCTGGAAAGAAACACTTCGCCCAACCTTGATTCGACCGGAGTGAGCAAGGCAAGGAGTCACTAGGCTGAAAAGCAAACCATGACAGATTCTATCACCGCCTGCCGTCATCCAGTTAGGATCGTATACTGTATAAACCATAGTCACCTTCAGATGCAAAAAAGACGATCAAGCTGCAGTGGGAGACCTTACAGCTCAAAACATAAAAGATATCTCAATAACTTTGTGTGTGTGGGGGGGGGAACAGTCTTGTGGGAAGCTGGGTTGAAAGGCTGTGGGGAGAGGAGGGGGGGAAGCTTTGTTTTACGTTAACACCCGTCATGAATAAGACATACAACATAAGCAGCAGCGATTGTCAAAGAGATGAAACATTCTTCTTAAATGCTTATTAATTATTAAGCAAATCTTCATAGAAAGGCAGGGAGTGTGCAGCACAACTGCCCTCCAAGGACTCTGAAATAGCCCAGCTTTAAAAGAATAACACAAGGGATTATTTCATAACGAATGTCTGAGAGAATTTCCATATGCGATATGACAACATGTCTTTTTAATCAGATGAAATATTACTAAAAAGACAGACAAATCTCCCTGTACATGTGCAAACAGTATAAACCCCCACACACATGTATCCCTCTGAGTTTGTATCACAGAAGATGCAAAGTTATAATTAAAATCACCAGAATCTCCTACTACCAGCATGTGTTTGTCTATGTATTCATGTATTTGTCTACACTGTAACACACGGGGACAGAATGCATTTCCAAATAAAGCCCTTTGAGTTTTGAAAAATAAGAATGACGGAATTCCCTGAGTATGATCCATATCTGCACACCCAGAAAGATCACCCTACCTGCAGCCTGTCCACATGAACCTTCACTCCACCGACAACCCCCTTCTTGAAGCTGGCAAGCATGTCTAGTATTGGATTGAATCGGCTTCCCCTGAGAATTTGAACACAGAAAGGTTTCAAGAGGTAGCCCAAAAAGTCAAAGCCAGCCAGGCCAACTTCACACCTTCTGCGCGCGTGTTTTGGTAGCTGTCATGGCTCACCTGATATTGTCCTCCCGGATGAGCACAAGGAACACCGGCCGGCCGTGCATTTTCCAATACTGCTTAATGAACTGCAAAGCATTCTGCACAAACAGAGAGAAAAAATGAAGATGATTGCAGAGCGGAGCAAAGGCAACACAATGACTCCAATAAGATGACGGAATTAACTATCAAGGACCAGGTGATGGGTGGAGCAGCAGACCTTAGAGGTAACTTTTCTCATTTCCCATTCATAAGATGAAGGAAGCCCAAGATACTCTACAAGGCAGCAGGGTTTGGTATTTGTTGCTTCCTTTCTTGCTGGGGAGCCAAATTTCAGTGGCTGTTGTCCCACTCAGTTAAATTAAAGAAGGGCAGGTGGCTAGATCTCTTATCGCTACCCCCTCATTTTTACACCACCCATGCGTTCTCCTATCCGGGACTGAGCCCTTCAGAAGTTTACCTCCACAAACATGTCCCTTTATCACAGGGTAGACAACTTTGGTGGAGACAGGAGCCAATTTTCTGCTCCCGAAACTGGTCAGATCAACAAAAAGGTCCCCAAGCGCTGCAAATGAGCTCACAAGTGGCTGGGGAGGTCTACTCTGAGTTTGGGGGGGGGATGGAGTTATTTGGCAGTGTTAAACAATGCAGCTCTGTGATATATTATTATTTTAAAAGCGAACTGCTCCTCCTGGGGGCTCCCAAGAACTCTCATGGAGGGGAGTGAGTGCCATGAAGAGGAGCTGGGAATTAAAGAAGCCTAGGAGGCTGCCATGCCCACCTCTGCGGTAGCAGCTTCACTCCAACGTTCTTCCTCCATCCTGTTCAGTTCTCCCTCTTACTGCACTTTCCGAGCTCTGCGATTAATTCTAAATTTAACATTTCGCAAAACCCGTTCTGGGTGACTAGCCAGCGATAGTTTTCTGTGACTCGTGTTAGCATTTAACACCCCATTACACTTCCTTTATCAGGTCCATCTATCTTCTGCCTTCATCTTCATCCTAGATCTACAATACTTAGAACCATTTAAATGCTGAAGTGTCCTGTGCAAAAAGCATTTTTCTGTAGAAAAAGAGGGAGTGTAAACTACAGATCTTCTTGTGTGACTGCAAAGGCAGCGACACTCAGTCTGTCGCTAACCCATGAAATGATCTCTGCACCTCAGTTCAACACAGATTTATTCAACATAAGCTGCACTGTATTCAGTGAGGGTTGTACAAAAAAAAAAAAACATGGATGGAGTCATTGCTTCAAACGGGACACATACAACAACGGGTCTATATCACCGATTCACGAGATACAGGGCCGAATAATCTACAATCTAAATACTCAACAAATAAGATGCATTGGGAATTTTACAAAAAGTGTACCTTAATGTCATCAATCAGCATCATAACATCTTGGGACATGTAGAAATCACTCAGATCAAAGATGATTGGATAGCAAACAACCGTTTTGCCCAGTATTCGATAAATCTACAGTGTAAGGAAATACAACCACTTTGTTAAATACTGTAGACAGAGTGCTGATAACCAAAAAACCCACATTTTAATTTATAATTAAACTTGAGAATGAACAGGTGCTGCTTTAACTAACCAGGAACTCAAGACAATTCATTCAAAACAACAGGGAAGGGGTTGGTGATATTAAGATATCTAGTGTGGCGTGAGCATTCATAGGCACAAATGTACTTCCAGCCAAGCATGAAAGGCATCCGTTTGGTTACCACTGAGATGACATTTCCTTAATGTCTCTGAACAAAGTCTTCAGTAAACTTAAATAATTTCATATGGTCTTTTCATATACAGTGGTGCCTCGCATAGCGATCGCTCCGTATAGCGATGAAATCACTTTGCGATGGACTTTTTGCCATCGCAAGAGCGATCGCTTTTGCGATGGCCCCTATGGGGAAATTTTGCTTTGCAATGATTGCAGGGAAGCGATCATTGCAAAGCCCCCATTTTCGGCCAGCTGATCGGCGGTTCCAAAATGGCCGCTGGGTAAACAAAATGGCTGCCCGCTGATTTGCCTCAGTTTAGAGCCACTGAAAATGGCCACCGCAATGGAGGATTTTCGAATAAAGTTAGTTTTTAAGCCCATAGGAACGCATTAAATGCGTTTTAATGCATTTCTATGGGCTTTTAAAAATCACTTAGCGATGAAATCGCTTAGCAGCCATTTTTGCTGCACCGATTAACATCGCTAAGCGAGGCACCACTGTACACTTCTCTTGGGCACTCTTATCAAGAAGCCCCATTGAAATCTGTGGGGCTGACGTCTGCATAGAGTCACACAGTAAGGAAGATTTAGGACCCACCCACCACAACCACCACCACGCTTTATACTACAACACGCGGAAAAGCAACTTCTTGTAATGACCTTTGATGATCCAAGGCAGCCAATTGGACGATCGGGTCTTCCCGAGAGGCCCAGTTTCTCATTAATCCCCAGGTGGAAGTAGGCCTGTAGGACATGGAGGTGAACACAATCAACGCACAAAGACCACAGCTAAAAATTGTCAAAGAGAAGGTGGAAAGAGGGTCTTCTTTAGGTTGGATTGGGTTGGAGCAGGACAGCGGAAATGCTAAATCCTGGCCTTTTTATCTCAAAGTGATCAGACTCTCCTTCAGGCCAAATCAGGATATTTATGTTCTCTGGGAGAAGAGATGACAAGTGAATACAGAAGGGAAATGATCTGGAAAAACCACACAGACCCAAGCAAAGGAAAGGAAAGGGAAAGGAAGACTCTCACCAGTTTGTACTTTGCACACACAAGATAGTTCAGTGAGCACATTAAAGTCTTAGGGGTCTAGCCCAAGCAATCCATCTGCTGCTTTCTGAGCCAAGCAGGCTGCAGGGAGCACGGTCAATGGGTCTGCTGCACAGCAACCTTTTTGGAAATTAAAGGTCATCTTGCTGCGGGGGGGGGAGAGGAAAAAACCCATACCGCTTTCCTCCTCACTGGGAGATTGTTGGAGCTGCTTGAAAGAAAGGTAAGCCCACGTAAACCCTGGACAGGGTTGTGTAATAGGTGTTTGGAGGGTTGCTCCTATTCTTAGAAGCAGAAAAAGGAGCCAAGAGGAAACTGGAAAGAACATTAGTGTTGCTATTACAACACCGTCCATAAGCTTTCCTATTCTCACATAAGCTTCATAATAAACACAATAACAAGTGCACAATAGGATTCTAGGTTTTGGATCAATTTGGGTGAACCTCTCTACCATCAGCAATTAAGTAAGTGATGATACATAATGAGCCCCTTCTTAAAACACCAACTTTGGCTTCCAGTTTATTCCTGGATCTAATTCAAAGTACCGGTGATGGTTTTAACGTCCTTTATTTGAGAAAGCATGATAGTTTGAGCTCTCTCAAAGACACAGTGTCCCATTATGAGCCTGCCCGGGCTTTTAAGATCATCAGGAGAAGCCTTTCTCTCGGCTCCACCACCTTCAAAGGCGCATCTGATGGGGACAGGAGAGATTATTTTAAATAAATAATGAATGAATGAATAAATATCTTCTTTTGAATGAATCTCCTCATCTATTGAGATCCCTGTCAGATACCCTCATGCACCTCCTGGTATTCCCAGAAATACACCTAATTCAGTGCACGGAGGGGGCCCTTCCCGTTACTATGCCCAGGCTCTTGAACTTTCTCTACCACCAAAGGTGGTCTGCTATACAATGGTTACATCTTCCTTTTTCAGAAGACATTTGAGGCACAAAACTCCCATTTTCTAGTGGTTTCAAATGTTGCAGTTGATCTATTATTATTACGTATTGCCCCCACCAAATGACCTCCTATAGACACAGGAGCTTTGATGTATATATGAAGGTTTCCTGCCCAAGGCTCCACCACTCATTTCAATGAAAAGTGCAGCTCCAGAAGGACACAAGATAGCCAATATGTGCCTAAGAGGTATGTGCATGTAAACAGGTATGAATGAATAGGGGTCAGAATGGGGAAATATATTAATTCTATATAAGTATATCATTTAGGATGTGCACGGTAGGCTGCATCAATTTTAGTAGTCAACTCTCAGAATATCAAGATTAATATGTTAAGCTTAAAGTACATTTGCTTGATATAATACTAATTGTTCTTCTCTTTATTATGGGATGAGCTCTGATAATACAAGACAAGTAGCATTACTAAGTACATAAAGCATACCAGAAGAGATTTCCTGGATTAAAAGAAAAAGAAAATGGGCTACTTTCTCTTGCTAAGAGTTCTTTTCTACAGGCGTTCCCAGCCTTGTAACAAAATATTGACATACACGTATGTTTGGACTGTTTCCTAGATTAGACAGAATGAAGGAAAAGCTGGACAATTCAACATAGCTTAAGAAATCGTGATTTGATAAAGCATACAGAGGAATAGTTTTCCTTTGAAGACAAAACTTAAAGCATGTCTTACTTTCACAAGCTCATGCTGTGCCCATATCTGGATGGGTTCCACCTGCTGGGGAGTCTGTGTTTGAATTCCGTATGTGTTCAGGAAAACCTGTAGGCTGTATTTTAAAAATAAATAACAAAAAAGGTACATCAAATATGAAATAGTAGTTTGTTTGTTTTTTTAAAAAAAGAAGTGAAGTAAAACCGAGTTTAAATAAGGGCTTGGAGAAAGGGACTTCTCCAAATGGCTTCTAGAACAATTTACAGTGGGGTCTTGACTTAAGAACGGCTTGAGTTAAGAACATTTTGACTTAAGAACCGCTCTCATAGGAAAATATTGACTTGACTTACATACTTACATTTGAGTTAAGAACTGAAAAAAACCCACGTGGGAGGCAGGGAAAGTGCAAAATGTGAACTTTCAGTTAACTGTTGGCCAGTGAAAAGGGGGCCTGTTTGCTTGCTCACTCCTCCCAGCGTTTAGAGAGTGGATTGGGAGACAGTCTTCAGACTGCCTGGTACTGTCCTGCCTGGACTGTCTTTTCCCTGCCTTCCCTGAACCTTTCTTGACCTAAGAAAAAAAGAAACAAAATATCCCCCTCTAGTGGTCGAAGGCGGAATAGCAGCTTCCCATTAGTTTCTATGGACGGAAAAGAGCAGATACGGATCAAAGGGTTTTCAATGCATTCCTATGGGAAATGCAGATTTGACCTGAGAACTTTTTGACTTGAGAACCGCCTTCCAATACGGATTAAGTTCTCAAGTCAAGACCCCACTGTAACTCTTAAAAGCTGCAAGAACCGAGCAAGAAACACGGAGGGACTAACACCGGAACCCTCTTAGAACCTGAAATCCAGGAAGAACGGAAAACACTTCCTTGTTTACCGGGGAGAAACAACCCAGGAGGTCACATTCCCAGTGTTCACACCAGCCTTGCCCAGTTTGGAGGCTGCATACGGCCTTTTCAACAGATGCTCTTCTTTTCAGAATGACACACACCACGATGCCCAAAGAGAGCTGTAAGGCCTGAGCAGAAATAAGCTCATGTATTTCTACCCAGCTGCAAGCTTCAGGCCATGAGGTTTTCAGTTCAAGTAGCGCTATCTCCAACAAGCATATTGAAATGGAGATGCAGAGACGTGTTCTTGATTTACAAGAGCTTACCGTTGGCTTTCAGCGATCAGTGCAACTTGTACCACCAGGTCATTTTCCAGAGGACCCTGGAAATGTAAAATTAAAACCACACATTTTCTGCCGGCTACAAGATGAAGACAAACTTTAATAATGCAACAAACACTGTCCAGCGGTATTGCTGCTTTCTCTTCCCTTATTGCTTTCTAATAGATTTGATGGTAGAGATACTACTTACACTAAAAGGAGCAGCAGAGAAGTTACACAAATACATAGCCATAGAAGAATAACATTACAGAGTTGAGAAGGGTACTCAAAGATCATCTAGCCCAACCCTCTGTCAAGGGAGGAAGCTACACCCATAAATCCAACCGGAAACCTGTACTGTCAATAATGACAAAAGATGTTAAGGACATGTTTCTTCATATTTTCTTTCTTTTTTGTCTATTTTGCAATGAAAGGGGAATGTTGAGACCATCTTAAACCTGCCTTATGTCATTAAAAGAAATAAAGAAAGAAACCCAGGTTGAATTTGTTAGCGTAGACATACTGACAAGTGTTTTCAGCACTTGACAGATCACCAAGTTATTTTATCCGGGATAGCGACTCCCCTGAAATAAACTGCTTACATGACAGCACCCACGTGGAACACATCTATCCCAAATGGTCTTTCACCAACTTTATCCACCCTGGCGCTCCCTTGAGGACAGAAATCAGATCTGATTACCGTCATGAAGATGGATTGGAACTGTGGGGTCCACTTACTTGCGCGTTCGAACGGTCACTGAACTCTGAGTTGGGGCACTTGCACAGATATCCTAATTCAACACGACATGTTCTTCACTGGGCAGATGCAACCGACTAAGCTACAAAAACTATCAACAGTAAATCCTATTTACATTGTAGCCTGTTGCTTCATTTACGTCAAAACGGGCGACCTTTGCTATGGCCAGTTATGGCTAGGGCGTCTCCTTCTGTGACGTCAGTCAACATCCCTGATAAACTGCGCTTCCAAGTAAAGCACCTGAATCCGAGAAGCATCCCATAATCACTGCCAGGGAAGCACTGCTCCCGCAGCCCAGCTCACCAGGGATACGCAAGGCTCAGAGCTCAAGTCAAAGCAAATCAGGCGCCTGCAACAGTGAGATGGGATGACGTCCATGTTTTCTGGTGTGCAGCATTATTTTGCCATGCTTCTCTGACTCTTGAAAACATGATGATTAGTCCCTGAATTGAGCCTGGAAGTTGACCACTAAGCAATGCTTGCCTCTCACCCTTTCAAGCTACATTTTATTCTGGGCACTGATCAAGTTGGCAGCTTAGAAGCTGTGTCCCTAGATGAGCCCATAACCTTTTGGCCTCAGGGTGTTTTACATGCTTCAGTGGCTTCCCTGCAGGGTTGCTGGCTCCATGCCTAGCAGAAGCTCCTGTGTGCAATGGGGAGACATAAGACAAGGACAGTTTTTCCTCTGTTAAAGGCACAGGATCCTATTGCCAAGAAAGGCATTGGCAGCCTCTTTCATTAAGGCCCTGATTTAGGTATGTATCTACTTTGAACGAGGGAATGCCTGCAGTCGGTGAGATAGAATACAAGAACAGGAATCTGAAGTCACATCTACATGACAATGGAGGTGATTAAATTCTAGTGAGGTAGCTCTGTGTTTCCCTCTGTCAAATAAATACGGTAACTCTTGGACAAAACGGCATACTCTGCAATTAAGAAAATCACAGAAGCTGGCCAATTCCTGTATGGATCATTTCCAATTGTTATGAAGAAGTTTTGGTTTTGATCTTCCAGGCATGCCACCAGAATTTCAATGGGGGAGGTGGAGGTGCTGTTTTTAAAGAGGGTTACTCAAAGCAGACTCTTGGTGTCTACATACGAAGCTGTTGTAAAATTAAGATAGTGGTTTTGATTCTATTTTTCACCTCTTTTCACACAATTATGCTGGCATTCAGAGAGTAGAGAACCATCTCTGCCTTTAGACTGAATGCTTTACTGCTGCTTTAGAACTTCGTTTATGTGTTTTTTGCTTCTAACTGTTGTATTCCTTCACCCTACGTCCCCCAGCAAACATTAGCAACTGGGCATCTAACACATATAATTACTGAACAAGCAAACCAAGCATCTGCAGTGAAAAGAGACTACACCAGCAATTGAACATTTGGTGTTTAATTTCCCAAAGAAAAGTACATAAAGTGAAAGAATTTAGGTACACACAAATTTAAAAGACAAATATTGTTGAGGCTAAAAACCTGGCAGACGGTTTGTTCTAGAATACATGGGTGCTGCTTTTATTTCTTATTTACGGTAAGTCTTTTCTTAGTGACCAGAATTGCATGCGCTGATGCATTTGGTGGAAGGGCATTATCAACAAGTGGTTGCCGTCTTTTCTCTAGGTGACTTGAGGCCTCTGGCGTTTAGTCTTTTCTCTAGGTGACTATATATTTAGTATGATGGTTTTTAATTGTCCTTTTGCTACATCATGCTCTGTCACTTAAGTGACACAGGCCAAGGGAGATGAGTTTAAAGCACAAGGGAAATGTAATACTAACACCTCAAAATACAGTTGTGCCCCGCTTGACGATTACCCCATTTAACGATGAATCCGCTTCACGATGATGTTTTTGCGATCAAAAAAGCGATCGCAAAACGATGTTTGCATGGGTTTTTTTTTTGCTTAGCGATGATCAGTTCCCTGCTTTGGGAACCGAATTTTCACTAAACGATGTTTTTTCAACAGCTGATGGGCGGTTTTCAAAATGGCTGCCAGCTCTCAAAATGGCCCCCCGCTGTTTTTAGGAGGCATTTTTCGCAAGACAGGCAACGGAAAATGGCCACCCTATGGAGGATCTTCGCTTTACGATGAGGTATTTCGCCCATTAGAACGCATTAGCCGGTTTCTAATGCATTCTAATGGGCTTTTTAATTTCGCTTGACGAGGATTTTGCTTAACAGCAATTTCAACGACATGGATTATCCTCATCAAGCGAGGCACCACTGTACATACAAGAAGATCTGCCATAGTTAGGTGACCCATTGTTCTGTCTTGGGTTATTTTCAAACGGTGTTTACCAAGCATTCAAACAAACACACACAGTCACTCCGACATATCAACTTCAACAAGTTGAGTGCTTAGCTTCAATTGTAATGTCTGCTAATGTGTTTTGAGGCAATACTGCATTTATAGGCAAACTTTTATAAATCATCCAGATAGCCTGAATTTCTGTACAACATAATGCAAACAAATAAACACACACAAATAATCTAAACCTCGAAGTTAACAAATCCTGGAATGCAATGCATCAAATGCTGTACAATGCTCGGGGGGGAAAGATTTCTGCGGATTTAAAATAATTGAGTTTTGAGTTCCCATATAAGTGTAATTTGTGCTCATTAGGGTTTGTTTGTAAATCCTGGTAGTATCAGTGGAACAGAATGTTTTTCACTACATTAAAGCTCCTTTAAAGAAAATACAATGATAAAACATTTTAAAACTTGATTTAGTGGAGCCCACTATGCATATGTTATAAGTCAACCAAGGCTCTATTACAGAGATTAAAACAGACTTGGAAGGAAAGCTTTCTTGTTATCAAATACATCCTCACATGCAACAGATGCATTTGAACGCAGGGGCACAACGTGCACAGTGTGTGGTCTCCAAATCCCAATCCAAACCACAATGCAGTACAAAGCAAAGTGTGCTGCTTATACAGTATACCGCCCCATAGCACTACAAGCACTCTCTGGGCAGTTTACAAGTTAATGATGCAGGCTACACATTGCCCCCCCCCCAAGTGAGCTGGGTACTCATTTTACTGACCTCGGAAGGATAGAAGGCTGAGTCAACCTTGAGCCGCTACCTGGGATTGAACCCCAGGTCGTGAGCACAGTTTGGCTGCAGTACAGCGGTTTAACCACTGCGCCAACAGGCTCCTTCAAATCAACTTTATATCCCTTTTTTATTGTCATGCTGTCTACCAATGGAATCCTGAACATCCTAGTTTGGTGCAGGAATTGTGGTCCTGCCAGCACTACTATAGATCTCAAAGATCCCTGGGACTATGGCCTAACGGATACATCCAGTTGTGTTAGGTATTAGGTATTTCCTCTGTAGGTCAAAAATGCAGAGTAGATTGACAATGCAAGGTCGCCTGACGATAGGACTAAAATATCAGACTAGGTCAATCCAAAGGGAGGGACCCAAAGAATCAGGGATGGTCATCTAAAGAGTGCTGGACGTAGTGACTGCCCGTGTTCTTTTCCTAGGCACGAGAACAGATAATGATGCACATACAGCTGTTTTGCTACAATACCATTCCAAGTTCAGATAACAATCATCACGTGCTCTCAAGTCAATTCTGACTTATGGTGACACATTTTTCAGGGTTTTCCAAGTAGAAAATACTCAGGAGTGGTTTCCCCTTCCCTTCCTCTAGGGGGCGCCCTGGGACTACTTGCAGCTTGCCCAAGGCTAACTAGGCTGGCTCTCCTCGCAGGAGGCGCCGTGGGGGAATTGAACTCCTAACCTCTGGCTCCACTGCCAGAGAACAAAACCACTGAGCTCTCCAGTCAGCTCCAAACTCAGACAATATCCATCATAAATGATAGGCAGGCACTCTTTGTAGTGACATGCGAGCTGCCTGTATCTGCACCCCATGGATGGCAAAGGGATGAGGTGTATGCCAAGGGATGTTATATTAACATGCCCGGGGAAATGGGTGTCATCATCCCACACTTGGATCTCTTCTATAAATACAGTGGATCTCAGAAAAATTATGGATTAATTAGAAGGCAAGCAAAGATGATTCAGGCTATGGATCTCAAAAACAGCCAAAACAGCCTACGGCAGCATACACTTTCAGACTTAAAAACGTATTGGTTTTGTTTTAATGCTTAAAATTTTCCGAAATCATCATTTTAATCCTGTTTGTATCAGTATAAATGGTTCAAAACAGGAAGAGGGAACCTGTATCTCTCCAGATATCCAAGCTGTGGCTGAGGGAAGCAAGTGTACAACCTGGAAGCCCACAGATTTCCTGCCCTCGGTGGGTTTAAATCAATGGCAAATGCGACAAATCCTAAACGTGGAAATATCTTTTACTGCCCAAGACTAAAACAATAGCAAAGTATCTTTTATTACCATGAACGAAGGGATCTTTGGCTGCATCAGGTAGATTAAGGGAAGACTGCATTTCATACACTGGTTATAAAGCAAGGTTAAATGTAAATGAACTTTTAATAGAAGCCTGATGAAACCATTCTGACCGGAATGAAGGGAGCTTTTATGTCTTATTTATTGGATTTGCGATTCTCTCTGGTTTACGACTACAGAGAAAATGCTTGAATTTTTATGGCACTGGCTGGAAGAAACAAATCGGCACGTGCCCCCCCCTTTAAATTGTGATAAAATATCACACTTCTCTTCCAACCGGCATCCCATACACAATGAGCTACAGGACAAGCCATTCATGGCTTGCATCTTTTGCCCTTGGTTTGAAGGGCAAACGACAGACCTATTCAGGCACTGAAAACCATAAGAACGCAAGGGAAATAAATGCACACTGGCCCAGTCTCTTCAATGTTCTTTCTCAAAGTGGTCAAAATCCAAGAGTAAGCAGCAACTAGATTTGTTCCATTGAGTCAGTGGAACTTCCAGAAGGGTTGACTCGCCAAATCCCCATTGATTCAAAGGTTCTACTCTAGCTGCAACTTACTGCTGGGCTTCAGCCATGGGGGTGGTACCCACCAGCAAGGGAGACTGCATCCCTTATTGTGACACACAAAAACTGTACATTATGTTCCCAGGGAGGCAAAATTGCACCAAAAGTGATTCCCCCCCACCCCAGCAGAACCTCAAATGTCCAAGCATTTTAACTGATTAAAACTTAGGATCACTCGGAATTTAATTTGTCTGATGACCATATTACTGTCTTAATTTCTGATCATGATTTTATATGCCACCCAAACAGATGGAAGGACAAGTGATTTTAAGGATATTTTAAACACATAATTTTTTGTGTGTGTTTGTAAGATGGCTTGCTAAGTCTTTTCACATATATATGACTTATGGTCATATATAGTGTTTGTAAGATGGCTTGCTAAGTCTTTTTTTAAAGAGAAGATAAAATATCTGTCCAATACGGCTTTCTCCCCAAGGCCAAGACATCAGAAGGGCACTACAGGACATCTACAGATTACTATTTTCCTACTTAAAGAGGCCTTCATGTTAGGATTCCAGATATGGCAGAGGAATAAATTGTCTTTGGCAGATCTGGTTTCAGGATAACAGTGGATATAAAAGGTGTCAATTACTAGAACAACATTTCTGTAATGGCAATCTGTAATACAACAAACCTTGGGTCTGATTAAATTGTTTTATTACTAATGAGAATAACTTCAATGAAGCCCATTAATGATGGGATTGCTTTTTTTTTTAAGTGTTAAATTTGGGCTGATTGATTTTGCTTCCATAAGCCGTTCTAATGTTGAGCTATATATACTGAGATGACTAAATGGGTTTTTTAATTTGCTTTTGAACAAAATGAGATGGTTTAATTTGATACGTTTTGTAAGGGAAGGGGGAACAAAGCACTTAAAGAAGAGAAGTAGCTTTCGGTTTCTGAAGACATAATTAGGTGAAATGTGTTGTGTTCTAGTTTCAGATTCCATTTTTAGCTAGTTGCTTGACACTTCAAAGCAAATGCAGACGGGACCATCTGTAACTTTCAGATGTACACTGACTCTGAATAAATAGACTAACTCCACTTTCACATACATGTCTATTCTGAAGTGAGCTCTAGTGAAGCTCAATAAACCTCACTCCCAGGTAACTGGGGAAGAGTGCAGCTTAAAGGAAATTAAACGGCTGAAAGGAGAGTTTCACAGATTAAAGTCCATTACACATGGTAATTTATGAAGTGGACGGTTATCCACCAAAGCTCACAGTGAAATGAATCTGTCGGTCTCAGAGGTGCTAGAGTAATTTTGAGTTCCCCCCCACCCCTTTGTTTTTTGTTTTTATCAAAAAAAGGTAAACTATACTAGCATTTGAATTAGGAGCCCCCCCCCCCCCCCAATTTACATAGGAAACCCACACAGCCTCGGACAAATGCACAATATTTAAAAAGAACACTGCTGGGCAGGCTGCAGCTTTAACAACCAACTCAGACTGAATGTCTGCATCGTACTTTCTCCAGGGATAAGGATGAGCTCACTGGTTAATCTGACCCTTGAGGTTATCAGCCAACTTTGCATTTTTGTAATCCATGTTGATGTTTTGAAAAAAGAAAACAAAACAGTTGAGCTCCAGGAGGGGCTGATTGATGGATTTTTATCAAATCTGTCACGATTGAGACCTTCAGCTTGATCTTTATACCACTGAGGGATTATTTCTGTTCCACCGGTTGTTCCCTGGCCAAACAGTCTATTTGCCTGCTGAAATTATTTTAGCAAGCCAGCTGTGCTAGCCTACACAGGCTCTGATGTCAACAGCTCCAACTGTTTGCAGTGGGGCCACTGGCTTGCACACGGCCTTCTACTTAGCCAGCTCAGCTTTCCGGCACTGTCTGTCCCCAAAGCCACAACAAGAGAGACCACTTTAGAAATGTAAGAACCCAGGAAGCCGCCTTACATTGAACCAGATGCTAAATCCATGCAGATTAGTACTGTTAAATAACACTGACTAGCAAAAACTCTCCAGGGATTTTTCTAAGCCCTACTTGAAGATGCCACAGGGTTTGAACCCTGACCTTCTGCAGGCAAAGCATGGCCTCTGCCACCTCCTAAAGCAAAGATCACAATCCTCTATTATTCGTATGCCCACTTGGCTCTGTACTCCTAGTATTTGCTCTGAACAGAACATACTCCACTATAGATGGATGGACCTCTACTATTCTTACTGCAACGTTAAGGATGAGCAGCCCTTTTAAAATTACTATTATTTTTTTAAAAATCCCAGCTAGCCAAGCCAGAGGGCAGAAGACGTTCCTACCTGATTTGAGTATCTCATGCTCACATTCCGCTGATCCTGAGGAGGTATGAAGCGCTTCACCGGATCGATGTCTTTGATGCTTACTAAACCATCCACTGAAAGCCAACCACAAACAGTCCATCATTGGCCTCTCGGCAACGGCAGGCATGCGCCATCATGACACGAAGCATTAATTTGGTATCTGGGAGAACAAAACCCATCTGGACAGGATCTGAACATCCCGCCCCAAAAGATGAGGGAATGAAGATCCTGGAGCTGGGCTAGGCAGTGGATTTGAACACAGCACTGCTAGACGACATGGCTCGTATGAAGTGAATGTAACAGACGGTATGAAACGCAGCTGCTGGTCAGGGGCCCAGTTTTATTTCACATAACTAGATACAAACAGCACAGGCAACCCCTCCTGATGGAAATTCCTTGGCTACAAACCTGATTTTTCTCCTGCAAAGCATAAACCTCTTCCAGAACAGGCTGAATCCCAAATACTGCATCAGTTTTTGTGTGTGTGTGTGTGTGTTTTTTAATGACCAGTAGTGCCTCGATGATGGAAAGGTTTGATTTCAGCTTGTTCCCCTTCATCAAACCCAGGCAGTGCTGAAGAATACTGACAGCATCGCTAGAGCTATAGAAGACAAGGAGCCCTAAAGGTGGGCACCGAGGCCGGCCTCGGCTGGACTGAAACTGGTCTAGAGAGAACCAGCGGCTGAAGCTGCTATAGCACCACCTTCTCAATCAGCTCAGCGAAAAAGGCTGGCCGACAGCTGGTCAAAACGTCTAGGCTAATGGCAGGTTGACCGTCTCCTTGCTCTTTCTAAACAGTAGGGGACAACCCAGCCCCAAACACCCCTCCATAAAAGGACATTAATTATGTTTAGTAAACATGTTGTCTCCAACATGCTATCAGCTGAGAGACCTTGCCCCCGGTCGCACCTGTATGTGAAAAGCAAGTTATCATCTCGGTCACAACATTCATGCCATCAAACAAATCCTTCTTCAACGGGGTAGACAGCTCCGACCTAAGAAAACACAGTGTGTTGTTTTTTTCAGAGAATACGTTGCTAGTGCCCACTTACCAAGCAGTTTTGCAATGATGTAAAGGGATTGCCCCCACAGAAAAAACTTTCCGTCTCGCCCATGGTTGCTAGGAAATCGTTTCTGACTGCCCGGGTTTTTCTTCTCCAGCTCCACAAAGTCAGCCGGCACGTAATAATACTTGGGCACTACAGGATAGCCTTAGAAATTTTAAAAGACAAGGTTAAATAGATTTAAAACCGAATTATTATTTTTTTCAAATGGTGGGGAAAAAGCCAACTCCACGGGCAACTCAATATAAAGGCTGTCATTCTTATTTATACTATAATGCCACAACACATGAAGAACAGAAACGGCTGTCTTGTTTATTTATGCTTTGTTTTCAGAGCAGATGCAACATCTACAAACTAGTTCCAAAAATTAGAATTTCTGACAGATTTTTTTTGGGGGGGGGGCTGCATTTTTAAGAGAGGCTGTCGTTATTCTGGTGCTACACAACCAGAAACAAGTACACCTGCTGTCGGTAAGGGAGATGAATGCTTCAGGCTAGAAAGAAAGTGAATCTAAATCTTGAGTAGGAAAAAAGAGAGAAAGAGTTGTTATACACATAATGTGTTTTGTCACTTTCGAACCACTTGTTTATTACTGAAAAGGTGAGGGGAAACATTAACTATTAGTAGATCATACAATATTCCACTTAAGCCCTTGTCTTCCATGACAAATCTATGCATTTTACATCCCAGGGCTTGCCTTTAAAGGTGTTTAACACAATTCCTGTGGAATACGAGGGAACAAAACAAAGGGAAGGGTGAGTTAGCTCTGCTGGGAGTATCTTCTGGTTTCTACCTTCTGGACGGGGACCAAAATACAGTGGTGACTCGCTTAACGATTGCTTCGCTTAACGAGGAAATCACTTGACGATTAGATTTAAACGACAGTTTAAATGGGAAAAATCTGCTTCACGATGATCGGTTCCCTGCTTCAGGAACTGATTTTCACATTACGACAACCTAAAAATAGCTGATCGTCGGGTTTCAAAATGGTTGCTGGGTGTACAAAATGGCCCCCCGTTGTTTTCTAGGATGGATTCCTCACTTTACAGACACAGAAAATGGTCACCCCTATGGAGGATCTTCGCTGGACGGTGAGTTTTCAGCCCATTGGAACGCATTGAAGGGTTTTCAATGCGTTTCAGTGGGTTTTTTTATTTCGCTTAATGAGGATTTCACTCTACAGTGATTTCGCTGGAACGGGTTATCCTCGTTAAGCGAGCCACCACTGTACAAGTGAAGGTGAGAGACCCATGTGAGAGGCAGCCTAGGCTGATACCAGGGAAGGAGTGAAAGTATCCAACCAACCCCATCCAACATCCCCCAAAAAGGATTTTGAAGGCTATTCTTCACTTTGTCTCCTCTATGATTAGAAACAGCTCTTGCTGGAAGGAAAACTGCTTAAAAAGAAAAGCAAATAAAGTGGGTCTTGAGGATGAGAAATGTAGGCAACAAAAACTTCAACTGCTCCAGCTTTTCCGTATGGCATTTTAAATCTTTGTTCGCTCGCACTCTCGCTTGCACACCTACACATTATAAATAAAAGTCAAAACTGTTGGATTTTTTTTTTACAGAGTGACAAATGCTTTATAATGTTATGGAATGTTTGGATTGAACTAAAATGTTAAAAGATAAGCTAGCATGATAAATTGTAGCAAAGGTGAGCTATCTGGCAAAATGATTCATTTTTTTTGCTATTTTAATTACTCATAATGGGCTAATGAAAATGCACAGGACTGAGAAATGAAAGATTTATACACTTATTCAAGAGACTAGGGTAGGAGACTAAAAACTAAAAGAGCATTTCAAAAACAGGAACCAGACATATCAGAGATTTCCGTTACAGCACTTTGGAATGAAATGGAGAGGTTACTTACCTGTAACGTTGGTTCTTTGAGTGGTCATCTGTGAATTCACACTAGTGGGTTTAATCTGTGCCTGCTCAGAGGTCTCCGGAATATTCTAGAGCTCAAACATGTGTTCGCCAGGACCCACCCCCTTAACACACACGGTCCGCCCGTCCTGGCAATTATCTCAGTTCCCAACAGCCCGCAGCTGCACATTAAGACAGATGTGACGGACAGAGGGGAGGACAGGCGGAAAGTGTGAATTCACAGAGGACCACTTGGAAAACCAGAGTTACAGGTAAGTAACCTCTCTTTCTTCTTCATGGTCTCTGTGAATGCATACTTAATGGGTGATTAACAAGCTTAGTAACAAGACAGTTAGATCATAAGCCAGCATAAGTCAGTCTAGGAGCTATTCAATGGAATCCTTTGCAAATTCATCCAGAGGCTGTTTAATCCAGTTTGGTAAGGGGTAATAATGTTTTGGAACAGCCTGTTGACTAGAGATGGGCATGGACTGCTGGTTCGACGCAGTTCATTTTCTGGCCAAATAGCTGATCCGTGGTTCAGCGCCCGGCCCTCCCCTGTGGGCACCCACTCAGAAGCAGCAGCCTGCCCCTCCATTCCTGGGTGCTCTCTCCAAGTGAAAGCCCACTTGAGGTGGTGGGGTATTGAACTGCAGATCAGTTGTTGGGCTGGGAATCGAGCTGTGCCAAACTGCCAAACCAGAGGCTCCCATCTGTGCTGTTGACTAGTCTAGGACTTTCGAAAAGAAAGGAGATGCAGAGTAAGATCTCAATGATGTCCACAGCTAATTTATTTAGTGATTTCCTTAGGTCAGAACGTACCATACTGTACTCCAAATGCTAGTCTCATGGCTAAGCGGTTCAAACTAAAATGGGAATTAAATGCTTAAGGAAAACTTCCAGAGTTCAAAAATCTATATGTAGGTATGTGCGTATATAGACAGACAGGCAGACAGATAAGAGTCTGACTTCTCCAATTTCTGTCAGAACCTCTCTCACCAACAAATACTGTCAATAACAAGAGAGATGATGGTAGCAAGGAACGAGGTCCTACGCAAACCTCACAGTTAACCTATCAGCATTTCATTCACCAGATAATGGACTCCATTTTATGATGTGCCATATTTTACTGGAGAAATGAATTAAATTTTATGTTCACACTTGGCCTGGAGCTCTCCTCGTGTAAGTACACAGTTTTTTTCCCTTTAAGAGTTGGTCTGCACTTGCCAGAGTTGTCTGCAACCTGCTGTAGGACTTCTCCCTCCCTAGTCTGTCTAGTTCACAGCTTGCTAGCAGTACCTACTGTACAATACCTTCGGCGGTCTGCTGCAGTATCGGCTCCAGAAGCTCCTGATATTCCTTAACTTGTTCAGTGTTACCTCTGAAGACTCCTAAAAGCAAAGGGTTGAGACTGGATTAACAAAAGCCATGCCCCTTACTTGAATGGTTTTACTGCTTAGATACATACCAGCCCATGTAAACGTGTGAGCCACAAAAAAAAATAATAATAATAGTGGTGGCCCTTCCTTGTAGGAACACTAGTGGGTTTCATTCAGATGTGAACCAGCTTAAGCAATCTATAACTCAGAGGGCCTCCTCCCTCCCTCAGACCATTCTTTGAAAGTTCATCACTCTCTGGGTGAACAAAGAAGTTTACCACAAACTCTATACTTAGGAATTCCCTTTATCTTTTTTAAACCCTATATCAACATAAAAAGGTAGCAGCCTTTTTTGTTCATTGTTGATCAAATGAAGAATTCATGCTAGCAATTATTATTTTGCTCAAAGTGCCAAGACATCTTGCTCCTCTCAATAGAAGAGAAACGTACTTACTTACAAAGTTTTTAGCCTGCCTTTCTCCTTAAAAAGAACCCAAGGCAGCTTACATCAGTAGAAGACAATATTTAAAGGCTAAAAACAGTAAGTATATAAATATTACTTAATATGATGTGAATCTTCTTATAAAGAAACAGGAAAAGAGATTAGAAATCTCAGTTACAACAAAACAAAATTTATAGTCAGCATTGTATTTGGTGCTGGGAAGGGAAAGGGAGTATTTGATAGCTCTGAAAAGCCAATTCATCAAATGACGGAGGAAATGATTTCATGCTGTCCTGCTGCAGAAATGCTATGAAAAATTATCATCATTTTCTCATCTCTTAGCATCTAAAATGAGGGCAAAGAGATCTCGGAGAGATTTATGTATGAAAAATAGGAAGAAAATCCCACATATCAATCACTAAAATGACATAAAATTTCCTCGGGAACTCAAATGCCAACATTCCCACTGTGCAATCTTAAGGCTTCATGTCACAAAAAACACTGCAGAATTTTATGAAATTGTGGACCAACGAAAAAGCAAGACCGGACTCATGGTTTCTTAGCACACAGAAGCCGCCACCATCACCGCCATCTTAGAACTGCAGAACTGGAAGGGACGGGACCCTATGGATCATCCGTTTGCTGAGTTGATTGGCGGAAGATTCACAGTGGAGGAAATTTTTCCACAGAATTCAAAACTGACATGCTGGGACCTATGTCTCAGCAGGCCTGTACAGGATTCTGCCCTTAGCGTAATACGGAAGCCAGCACAGTGGCTAAAGCAGTCTGGAGTCCTCTCTCTTCAACTCCCCAATCAGCAACAAAACTCACTGGGTGGAACAGTCGTACTCCTCTCCACGTGACCCGCTTTGCAAAGTCATTGTGAAAATAAAGTGGGGAGCGGAGAGCTACGCAGGCCAGTGTAGGGAAAGAAATGTCACAAACAGAGAGATAAGAAAGATGAGTCAACGGAAGTGTTTGCTGCAACAGGACGGAGGAGAGGTTTTCGACAGTTTCCAAACCTTAAATAAATTAAACACACTGTTCTTAGCTTTAAGCCAAACGCTGTAAAGCTCATCACAGAAAATCAGTTAATTCTACAAGCACTGAAATTACTCCATTCATTTTACTTCGGCGGCAGAATCGTCAATGGAAAGTTTGGCATAAGCAGATTACAGCCTTCCCTCTTGGATTCCTGAAGTTATTTTGCTGCTGCATTTCACAACTCATCCTTTGACAGAATAAGAACGCCAAGTCATACTTACCATCTATCATCATGAAAATGAAAAAGAGCGGAAACTCGCACTCAATCCCATCAAAGAGCTAGAAATAAAATTAAAAGAGGGCAATTGAAAAGGCAGGCAGAAATTTTATTAACAGAAACACATTCCAATATCGTACTGTACTCTCAAAGACGTGGAAGACAAACATGAAGACAAATTATCTTTTTAAATGCAACAACTTTTTTGGAGAAAAAAAAGGGGGGGAGAGAAATATTTATCTTGTTCCATAAAGATCTGCAGTACTTTTAAAGTGTCATGACACCGTTTTATGCCCAGAATGCATCACTCCATTTTTCTTCCCCAGCAAGGAAATTTTCATTTAAATTAAAAAAGAAGAAAATGAAAGTATCTGAAGGGAAAATGGGGGGGGGCTTCCTTCAGACAACATTTAACGGCGAGTGTTAATAGTCAGCAGCACATTGTGATCTGATTATTAATATACTCCAGCCTGTAGTCAGCTGTGAAATTAAATAAAATGATAAATAATGTTGCAATTTGTTAGGGGAAACAAACTGTGTGTTGAGTTTGAAATGTAAGCACATTTACCTCTGAACAAATCAATCAGGGAGAAAAGTGCTGAGGCAAGGCTCTCTGTTGTGAACGTCTAAACCACGGACAACAAGCAAGGGCTCCTTCCCTAAAATGGATTGCAAGGAAGTGCCAAAGCTAATGGCTCATCTGATGGGCTGATTTCCTCACCCCTCCCTCTGTACAAGAAACCAGTGGAAGCTTCTTTTCAGTTCTGGAAGAATCTGGAGCAGCAACGTTAGAAGAACAGGGTTCAAAGTAGAGATGGGCACACATTGTTTCGTGCTGGGTCATCCTAGGTTGTTGGTGTGTTCTCTTCTCCCTCCCACCTCCAGCTGTCTCCCCAACTCACAAGTCAGCACACGCTGCTCAGTTCCCTCCTCGTCATACGATCTTCCAGTCCCAGCAGTAGCAAGGACTTCCTTTCTCCACCTCCTCCAGCAGCTGCCCACTCAGATGAGGAGGCACAGCAGGGATTCCTGCAGAGCTGCCTTTGAGCGGGCGGCTGCTGGAGGAGACGGAGAAGGGAAGTCTGTGTTCCTGCCAAGACTGGGAGATCATGCAACGAGGGTGAATTGAGCAGCGTGCATCAGCTTGTGTGTAGGGAAGCAGGAAGGGGGTAGGAGAAGGGAACACGCGGCACATGGGATGCTGCGCCAAGAACTTAGGATAACCCAGCACAAAGCAGGTCGTGCCCATCTCTAGTTTAAAGAGCACTGACAATGCCTCTCACCACAGATTTAACTAAATCAAACTGAGAGCTTGGCATTGTTATTTTCGGTATGACTTTGCCTCTCACCACAGATTTGAACTAAATCAAATCCAGAGCTTGGCATTGTTATTTTCGGTATGACAACTCCCCAAATCTCCTTGCCAGCGTAGTGGGAGTTTCTGCCCCAAAAGATGTCTAGGCCCAAGCAAAATCAACTGTGCAAATAAAGGTTTCACATTTAACTAAATATAAGTTAGAGGGTGTGTATCTTAGATGGGCAAAGTACAGCTCTCCAGATATTGGACCCAAGATTAGATTCAAGATAATCTAGTCTACTGTAGAAGCCCAAGGTGTTGGAAGCTTTCAAAGAGATCTTGGGTGGCTATCTGGTGGGGATAGCTCAGCTGTGATTTTTCTGCATTGGCAGGAAATTGTCCTAGGTGAATCTCTGGGTCCCAACTCTGCACTTCTATGATTCTTTGTGAATTTCATTGTATGGGTATACTGTTTGTCCTAGATGAATCTCTGGGTCCCAGCTCTGCACTTCTATGATTCTTTGCACCATACTGAGTCAGACATCTCTGTATGGTTTTTTTACGACTGTCTATGGCCCTACGTGGTCTCAATCTTCCAAGTTCCACTATTTGAAACCCTTTAACTGGAGAGTCTATGGTCTCTCTCTCTCCTTCCTGTGCGTAAATCTCTCATGCTGACCCTATGAATCTCTGGGTCCCAGCTCTGCACTTCTATGATTCTTTGCACCATACTGAGTCAGACATCTCTGTATGGTTTTTTTACGACTGTCTATGGCCCTACGTGGTCTCAATCTTCCAAGTTCCACTATTTGAAACCCTTTAACTGGAGAGTCTATGGTCTCTCTCTCTCCTTCCTGTGCGTAAATCTCTCATGCTGACCCTTCTCTGCTTCCTGGCTGCCCATTCACAGGCTCAAAGGCCAAATTTATTTTGATGAGTTCAGGTGAGTGAGCACACATTTGCATAGCTCCTTCTTGATCCCTAAACTTTGGTTGCCATTATTTCTTCTGCAGAAACCCTTACATTCCATTGAGCCTACATAATCTGGAAACTTTTGAAATACACTGATTCAAATAAATTGGAAGACACTGAAAACTATAGAATTCCAGAACTATGGTTTAGAAGGAACCTTAATAGTATCAACTTTGACTTTTTCTGCTGTTAGAAAATCATGTACAGTAGGAATACTACTAATGGATTGTCTAGTTACTTCCATTATTGTCGACTTCTCCAAAAATTTGTGTGGCAAAGCAATACAGAAAGGCACTGAGATCAGAATACAGAAATGTCAATATTTTCCCTATACAGTATTCACTCTTTTAAAAAAATCTATTTTCTGACCTGTTGGAAACTTTGGACAATGACAGATCAGAAAACAATCTAATCATGAGTATGTAATATTAGAATTTTTTGCTTGATGCAGGCATTGAAAAATATAACTGTCATCTTTTACTAAAATAAATCCAGAATACATAGGAAGTGCTGATACAATCTGCAGTGAAGCATGCACAATCATGTCATAATACAGGTAATTAGAAATTAGAAACTGACATTGAGAGTCAAGATAATTAGCAGTGTAAAAATTATTTAGATTGGCAAAACCCACATTTTCCGCCTTGTAATCATAAGAAACATATGTCAACAACAAATCCTACACACAGGCACCGATCTAACACTTATGTGCACATCAATACCTTCTTGGGAACTGTACCTTAATTTCTGCCGGCTTGTAGTACTGCCGATTTTTGTCCTCCAGTGCAGTTCTATAGCCATCTCTGAGAAATCGCTTGAACCCATATTTGCCTTGTAGCTTCCTAACTACCTTGTCAATGGTTTGGCTGTACAAGGCCTCATCATCCACAGCAAAGGCAGGGTAGCTAATGCAGGGCAGCAGAGCAGCATCAGTATTCTAGGGAAAGAATCTCAGTGTAAATCTTGGATGCTAAGAGAAAAGTAAGAAGACCATAGAACAGGAATCCAGCTGCTGCTTATCATTAGTATGTATTGAGCACATTATGCTGTTTTCATACCTACGATACATACTAAGACCGCCTAGCCCAGCAGCTTGGCTGCTCCTAAATGACTATGGTAGTGCAGTCTTCTTCTTACTTCAGTGTTAGGGGCTGCTTCTGTGGGGAATGACAACATGTGCACAGGACTGAAGCCAAAATATGGAAACTTCTTTGCATGCAGACTCCATGTATACTTTGGGGAATAAAACACTGCTTGGATTAGATCCCTTTGAACTGGATCAACTCATCTGTTTCCGTTTAATCAATAGCACAGATGGCCCAACACTCTGAAACTGTGCCCAGTCAATTTATTAAACAAAACAAAATGAATACTGTTTACAATGAACACTGACACAATATAAAATACAAACAATACACGGTTTGTCTTGTTCTCTTTTTTTTAATAGGAGAGCAAGACAGGAAAAGAGAAACAGAGAGAGAGAGAGAATGGGAGAACATGAAAAGATGGATAAAAACATATTCTGATATATAGCAACAGAGCACTGCAGTCTTCATTCCTACATCTTTTGGGGAAATGCATTGTGTCTGCAGCATGCTAGAGTGGAAAAATATAAACAACACAACTATCAGTTGTTTTAATAATCTATTAAAAATTTAAATTCTATTTTTTCCCCATCAGACAACAGTAACAGTGAAGATTAATGGGTTGCTTAAATTGTAGAAATGCTACCAGATTCAGGAAGAATGAACGAGGCATCGTGCCATGACTGTTAATTTTAAGACACAGCAATGGCGCTCACTGTGAGGCTAATGGAATGTACCCGAATGCTAAAATAGCACTCTTGATTAAAACTATCTTAACAACATACTAGCTTGGCCTCTCAGCCAGCCCTACTCCATAAGAAAGAAGAATCTAAAACGGCACTTGTAAATTACAAACCCAAAAGATAGCTTGATGTATACTTCGATCCATATTTGATCTGTTATGGCTACACACCTATATAAGTAATTTAAAAGTTCCACTCCAAGCAGAGTGAAGTTATTTCTTGCTACATTAATGACTATAGAATAATGTAGCCAAGGAACTGCTGGATAGCTCAGTGGTTGAGGTTTCTGGCTGCAGAAGCCAGCAGTTGGGAGTTCGATTCTCCACAGTGCCTTCCTGACAGGAGCTGGACTTAATGATCCATGGTATCCCTTCCAACTCTGCACTTCTAATGCTCAGAGAGCAAAGAAAAATAAATAAAAGCTGTGTGTTCTTCCACTTACACTTAGAAACAATGCATATAATCCATTCAGTTCTGGAAGTCACGCTGCAAATAGGTCATGAGCACAGGAATTCAACCTGATTTGTAATCCATATACATTTTCATGATTTCTGCAACTGCCAACAATAGTTGGTATGTATTGTTGTTTGGAAACTGTTACCTTTGAATGCAAGAAATTTAAGTTGGGGCAGAGTGGAGAGCACTGACAAAAAGAATTAAAAACATGAACATTTGGGGGGTGGGGGAGATCATACTCCTGCCCTACATTTTATTTTTAACCATGTTGCTTTCACAACACATTTCTCCTATTATGAAAGCTAGAGATTTTCTCTTGAAAATTAAACCACAGCATCGGGCTTCTCCGTATTTTTATTCTCTGCACAAGAGCTATGCCATCCAGCTTTTGTCCTGAATATAAAGGTAAAGGTTCCCCTTGACATTTAATCCAGTCGTGTCTGACTCTAGGGCGCAGTGCACATCCCCGTTTCCAAGCCACAGACCCAGCATTTGTCCAAAGACAGTTTCTGTGGTCACGTGGCCAGCGCGACTAGACATGGAATGCCATGACCTTCCCACCGAGGTGGTCCCTATTTATCTACTGGCATTTTTACATGCTTTCAAACTGCTATGTCCTGAATATAGGTTTATGCTAATATATTACTAATGCCCTGGAAATTGTCATATACTTGTTTCGATCCAGCAGAGCAAATGTGCAAATTATTGGGTGCAAATTGTTTGCAGGACTAAAAAAAGAGCACACAGGTTGAGGACACCATCCATGGAGAATTACTTTGAACAGGATACACATTTTGATGTGCATCTGGAAACCCGTTCTCCGTGTACTTTCGTGAAGCTAGTTTTGCCTTGCCTCTTGTTTTAATGTCCTGCCAAAGCTGCCTTACCCTTGTCTACGTTAGCCTCGAGAACTACAAGAGTGAGTTGGAAGAAAAAGAGCAGACCAGTCAAGCTTCCAAGATGGACACAAACATTATCAGACACCTTTTTTTCAAAAGCCAAAGGAGGCACGACATGGCAAAGACGGTCATGGCAAGCACGTGACTCCTGTCCCGCAGTCATGCTCCATTCAAACGTTTTGCAACATTTCAAAACGCTATCTAGATCTGGAAATCATCCAGAGCTATCCTAAGTTCAGTGAGGTTATTGTGGGCGAGTCTAACCCCAACAGACTGTGATGGATCAGAATATTGAATATAACGTGCAGTGATGCTGGAGACAAAACATCACCCATTCCAGGCTGAAAAGAATATTGCTTCTCCCCTGGATACAAAAAGAGAGATCTATCACAATAATCCCCCCCCCAAAAAAAGGCCTCACTGAACATTGGTATTTAAAGGACAAATTCTATTTCCTTCCTAATCAACAAACGTAGATTCTTTATGTAAAAGCATATGACAAGGGAATTACAGCTGATAACTAATTTCCAGTTTCTTTTCTCCATGTTCTGTTAACACAATCGTGTCTTACTTACATGAGACCGTGATTCTCGAGGAAGCAATGAATAAAGGGTTTGTCTGTTCCGGTTGTGGGCATCGAGGTCTACAAATATGACAGACCATGAGCAACCCTGAAAAAAGAGCAGAAAATTAATAATACATAGGATATGCCCAGTAATGCCTAGAGTAGCAATAATCAATTGCTGTCATTCTAGACATCCTATCTATCTATCTATCTATCTATCTATCTATCTATCTATCTATCTATCTATCTATCTATCTATCTATCTATCTATCTATCTATCTATCTATCTATCTATCTATCTATTTATTTATTTATTTAAAATATTTAATTTAAATCTCCTTGAATACTAAAATTACCACTTGCAATCACAAACCATTAGTGCCAAACAGATGGTGATATGTTCCCCCCCCCCAAAAAACCGGACATAAGTTTATTTACGTCATATTATATGGACTTACAATCCAGGTTTTCGATACAGTTGACCATTCCTAAAAGCGCAATCATCATTTGCTCCTTAAGCAAATCAACAAAAGCTACTTTCCAGCTACTGCAAGAATCACAAAAAGCTTTAATTCCCAGTTGCTGTGGTATCATTTTTCTTTCTTTCTTGTGCAACGAAAAAAAACAACAACTCCACAATATTTCAAAGCCAAACGTAGGTCAATAACCACAGATTGATTTAAGATGTGCAATTATGCCATCCTGCTCCTCAACACAGGCTGAAATTGCTCTTAAAGAGGTCTACATTCATTTGCACCGTTTCAAGGGTGTGATCACTGAAGATGTGGAAAACGGGTGCTTCAAATCCTAATTGCGCCGTTTGCGGCAACTGCTTTGAGGTAAGTAAAAAAAAAAATACCACAGGAAGAGAATAATAGCTAATTAACTCAGATTCAGGAGGGAAAAAAAGTAAGAGTCTAAAAATAAAGAAACAAAGTCAAGCTGGGAACTACAAGGACCTGTTCTCACTCAATGGGCTCCTGTGCATCAATACACACAAGGGCATCTTATTGTTCCTTCTAGCAGCAGCCTCTTCTGCCTAAGAGAAGGCTACGGTGTAGACCACGGCTTCGGAAGCCACTCTTAGAAAAAGCAGAAGGTTGTCACTGGAAGGAGGAAACAGAGGCCAGCCAAAGTTGTTGTCTTTAAAAACAACAACAACAACACGGGCAAGCACAGCTGGAGTACAGACGAGATATAGAACCCATGCAGGGGAGGGTGACCAAGATGGCAAAAGGTCTGGATGCAGAATGTTTGAGCGAGTTGGGTACGTTCAGCCTGTGGATGAGATGATTGAGACAACCCTCTTCGAACGTATGAAGGGTTGCCGAAAGCAAGATGGAGCACGACTGTTGTCTGCAGCTCTGTACATTAGAACATTCTGACTGAACATTAGGAAGAACTTCCTGATGGCCAACAGTGAACGGATTACCTTGGAAGACGGTAGACTCTCCCTCCTTGGAGGCATTTGAAGAGAATTCAGAAGGCCATCTGTTAAGAAAGCTCTAACTGTGGCTTTCCTTGGAAGCCTCTTCCAACTTCACCGCTTTATGGTACAAACCCCACAATGCCTATGGTTCTTTGACTCCATGGGCCATCTGAATGCCTGGAAGCTTCCTCTATTCCTAAATTACAGCCTGGTTTTAAAGTTTTAGCTGGGTCTACTTTCAGGTAAGTGGCATACAGCTGTACTCTTTAATTCCTTCATTTTGTTGTTAGGATCTTTTCTTGCTTAAGGCTGTTTACAAAAGGAGAGTACAGAAAATATGACAACATACAATGCCAATCAACCTACCCCAACAGACAGCCCTGTCTGTTCCAACCAACGAATGGAATGAGAATAATGGACTGACAGTAGATCAAAAAGACTGTTAGCAACAAATTAGAAACCAGCAGGGGAGGCCATGGGCTGGGCCAGGACCTTTCCTTCTCATGTGCCAATTTATTCTGCACTGCAGAATATTTTGCTTTATGAACAATGAAGCAGGCAAAAGTGGCAATTTCCCACAGCCAGCCCTACCATCTCATTCCATGATTGCCCTATTTCTGCTTCACATGTTGACTCCTCCACTTTTCAGGATAATTAAATACATTTGAACAAGCAAGAATGTGGTCTTATTTGAAGCCCCTACACTTTCTTTCCTCTCCTAAAGCAATTTTTTCCTCCCCCCCCCACTCATTTTTCTTCACAACCAGCGTTTAAGTCAAGCGTTGGGAAGTCCGCTAGATATTTCTGCCACATTTTAAACAGAACGAACGGGCAAGCAATAAAATGTGGACGCCTACCTTCAACTAGAAGCCGCTCTGCTGCTGTTTAGAATTCCTGCCTGCCACCCACAGTCCAGTCATCCCCCCAAAATACTTAGGAGGTCACAAAAGGGCGATTCACAAACCCATCGCTAGTCTTGCCCCGATACGGTCAGCCTTACTGGGATATTTCAGGGGAGATTTTGCCCAAGATTTTAGGATTGAAAAAAAAACCAAAGCCAATTACTGCAAACCTCAGTATTTTCCTGATCATGCCAATACTTTCTTCCTGTTTCTCCATGGTATCACTCTGGCTCAACTTCTATCAGCATTCACTAGATAGCTTTAGTATTAGGAGTGATGAGTGCAGATTAAACTTAATGAGGACACACTAATGGAAAATGAAAGCACTGAATTTATAGCTAAACTATTTTCAATAGAGTGGTTCTGTTTGCTTGCAGTTTTCAGGATGCTGGGATAGGGCATGATTCAGTGACCTCTAACTACATGCCTAAACATTGCAAATCTCCACCAGATCAGTTGCTGAGGCAACCATGAAAAACTGGAGAAACTGTCCTGGGCTGGTGGCCCGGATCTGTTGCCAAGGCAACAGAAAACACACTTGAGTACCACTGAGGAGTACTGAAAGAAGAACATGCATGAAGAAACCAGACGCAGCATGAAATCGTATGGAGAACAGAGGGGAGGCCATACAAAGCGCAGAGAGAGTATCTCTTACCTTTAAATAAATGGGAAAGTGCCTTCGATAGATCATCAATCAATGGCAATCAATGGAATAATCTTTTGTAGAATATAGCCTATTTCTTTAGATGCAGGACTCTGGATAGGCTATATCAGGACAGATCCTTAGAAGTAGTTCCTGCATCATTTTGGGGGCCTAAAGCCCTCCCTGTCCCATCTTGTAAGTTGTACACTTAGCTCTCCCTCCCCATCACCCCAGTAATAGCCTCAAGCTTTGATTTTGCGAAGCTGGAATTTTAGAAGCCTCAGGAAAGAAGATGTACACTTGAGCCAGAGGGTTTCTCTGCAGAAACTCCCAGCAGCAAAGATAACAGCCAGCAGATCACCATGTGACTTTCTGGCAGTGTCCCACATAGCCTCTGATGAATCCTAACCACCTTCAAGAAAGCAACACCTCAAGAAAAAAAAAAGAGTTCTCACACTCGGAAATTTACAACACAAAAAATGACTCCACAAGACACTGTCATGTCGCCTCAAGAAAGAAAGAAAAAAAACAGAGTTCTCACACTCGGAAATTTACAACATAAAAATGACTCCACAAGACACTGTCATGTCTACATGTGTGTATACAATTCTTGCCCGAACAAGCAGCGTGCATAATATTTGGTGGCCAGCTAGCCTAAGTCAACCATTTTCCAGATCTGTATTTTAAAGCAAAGCAGTTGTGTAGCTATGGAAAGAGGGCGGGAAGTAAGCAGGCTGAAGGCTACTGTCTCAAAGCCAAGCAGAGCTTATTTGCAAAAGAAGAAGCTGCTTGGATGAGGAGCGAAATGTTTCAACCTAATAAGAAAGAACTCCAGTTGCCATGACGCAACTTCCAGATAACCTCACCTGGAGGACTGAGAATCTTCAGAGATATAAGCTTCCAAATTGTTCAGATTAATGCACTGTGAAAATAGCATGGAAAAAGGAATTCCCCACCCCACCCACCCCTTGTTAGGTGCTCAAACTTTGTGCTCACAATAAAAGAGCCATTAAAAAGTTGGCTAAATTCTTTAAAACGTCTTAAGTTCTCAAATAAGCAAGTCTCCTCCTCTGCATGTCTTGTGCCAGTGGAGTCCCTGGGTGAAATAAAGATGACATTATTTTCACAGAAGGAATTATCTACTAATTGTCTGCATGTATCTTAAGTCTTAGAATGCAGCTTCTCCCTAGCAAACTCTCAACTACTTATTTGAAGCTTTGGGACTTTTTCTGATTTGTGAATGAAAACAGGCGATTTCATGTGGAAACCCTAACTTTTAATATGATAACCAGAATCCTACTGGGATTTGAATAGGTTCCTGTAACTTGCAAAGGCTACCTGCAACTAATTGACAAGGTGCTGTGACATGTCTCAGTTAGGTACCGGGTTACGTGCCTCATTGCGTGACCAAAAATTGCACCACTCCCTTATCAATTAGTCACAATTAGCCTTAGCAAGTCACACAAACCTTATGAGAACACAGACAGGATTCTGGCCATTGTCTGTTCATTGCTCTTTAGAGATTTGGTTTTTACCAGAAACATGCAAAGGTAGCAAAAACCGGGTTTTAGATGGTGCAAATAAAAATGTAGATGTCTCAACAGAAGGTGTTCTGCTTTTAGAAAGCAGGTGCACTGATAATTTGAGAAATGCACATAAAATAGAACAGCATACATTCGGAATAGCAATTTGAGGCCCTGTGGCCAAAGTTATATCCCTGCAGAAAAAAGGGACATCCAGACCCTGCTTGATCACCAACCGCTGGTGTGGAAGACGCAGGAGAAAGTAAAGCAAGGAAAATCATTTCATTTTGGCCTTTCTCTCCCACATATACACACTAACAGCAACATGGCAGAATGGAATGGTCAGAAGTTTCAGAACAGATAGATATTATTGGGTAAAAACATGTTTGGCTTCCTAAAGAGAAATCAACCTCAAGCATCTTGAGACACGTCTTTTCCATCCAAGGATTCTGGTTGGAAGCGCTCCAGTTCTTACACTCCTAATTCTCTTTTTTGGCCCACACCAAAGAGAAACAGCAGAGACAACACAACGGTCATGGCCAGGCAAACCGATGAACTTGGATGGGTCCATCTTTGGATACAACTGTTATAAGAGCCTGGAACAAATAGCTATGCAGGCTACAATTCACAGAATCCTCATCTAGGCTGGCCGTGCAATTCCGGGTGCCAGAAATCGGCAAGAAATAGACAAAAAATCGGGCCTTCTCGGCAGTGGCTCCTTGCCTCTGGAACAATCTCCCTCCTGAGATTCGCGGGTCTCCCTCGCTGGGTATCTTTAAGAAACAATTGAAGACATGGATGTTTGGGCAGGCCTTTCCATCATATTCCTCTTGACCTCCTTCTTCCCTCTTTACTGTTTCTGTTTTGCACTCTATGTAATGTATTGTAGTGTTTTTACTAATTAGAATTGCTTTTTTATATTGTTACTGTATTTTATTGTTGTTAGCCGCCTAGAGTGGTCCTCACCGACCAGATAGGCGGGGTATAAATTAAATAAATAAATAAATAAATAAATCCAAAAGATAAAAGTTTCCAAGCTCTGTCAGCTTCTGTTTTCTGCCTTCTACCTTTCCCCGAAAACGGCTTTCCTGACCAGGGCTATAGAAAATACACGCAAGGCATTAGAACACCCAGCTTGTTCTTGTTATCTTTTTTTTTTTTTAGAGGACACAACAAACAGAGCTTAAGACAAAGCTGTTTTGTGATAACAAAGAAAAGGGCACACATGCCAGAACAGGGCAACACAACCGATGAAAAACCCTGCTACGTGAGCGATCCCAAATGGCCTGAGGGTGAAAGGTGGAGAACCCATAATGAGGCTGATAAAAGCAACTGGTGAAGCTCCATATCAGAGACAGAAAACATAAGAGGAGAATATATTTGTATGAGCAACTGCAGTTGTTTAATGTCTTGATCAAACAGACTAGAGAAAAGCAGGAGATAGTTCTGTATATTTTAGTTTCTCACAGGAGTTAAATAAAATGGCTAGAGGGAAAAGGCAATGACTGTGAACTGGGGAAAGAGCTGATTTTGTTAGACTATGCATCTCATACCCAAAGTGGCAAGACTTAATTTTCTAGTCCACGTCTTTTATTTTTTATTTTTTTAAAGAAAGAAACAAGGCTCGGAGACAGAACAGACTTTACCATATGGATGTTAAATGTCCTTTGATCTGCAATGAAAGCAATTCACTGAAGAACAAGCAGTTAATTAAAAATGGGGAATGAACAAATACTTAAATATTTTTACTACCTGATTGCCGAAGAGGTTGAATCCGTTAATTGCTTCGAGGGCTGCTTTTGCTAATCCAACGGAGCTGCCAAAGGAAGAAAAGCAAAAGAGAAATGTGTTTTTCTGCAAGTGTAGGAATAAGATCCGCTGAAGGCTAGCTTGTACGACAGATTACTTTTGGCTCAAGGCCTTGGGGATGGGGGCAATAAAGTTAAATGAATATACAGTATACTTATTTTATCATTTTTCAACCGTTTACCTTCAAAGGTCATTGGCCATTGGCACTTTCTGACACGCTTTGCTTTGGGTACATCGAGCGCTGTAGATTCAAAGAGGCCCCTGAGTAGGCACCAAGAGCAGGACAACGTCAGTGCCTTGCATGCTTCTCTTTCAAGCAGCTTGAGGGGGAAAGTGTGTGGTTTTTTTCCCGAATATTAAACTCAACAAAACTTTGTCTTCATTAATCAACAGACATGGCTTTTTGCAAGAGAAGAGAGAGGCACAAAATGGTAAGGCTTCCCCCCCCCCAAGGAACTTATAGTCAGAATTTTAAGAGTGGGGGCAAGAGCAGAAGGGATGGTAAGGCTAACACCTATTCAGTCTTCAGGTGAGGACAAAGGACACCTGTCTAAAACCAACTGCCATCCTCACCTAGAACAGGCCCACTGACTCATCATTTGATGGCATATGAATTTTTTATTATTATTATTATTAATCCACAGTGTTGCTGTAAATGAGAAACGACTTAACACAACTCCAATAATGTGTTGTTGACTGAAAGAGAAAGTTTGGTGTGGACTGAAAGACAAACCCTTTAAGTCTCTTTCATGACACCTCCTTCCTCGCCTGTTGTGCGCCTTTGATATTTAAAGGCCTTTAATTATTTTAAAAACCTTCACAAGCCTTTTGTTATTTAAGCGGCCGGCGGCTATCAAGCCAATGTAAAGGCTGATTTACAAATATTCTGGCATTAATTAAAAGGATAGAATGAATTAAATGTAATCTTTGACTTCATTTTCATTCTTTAAATGGCAGATAGGTAGGTAAAAGATTGTTTATAAAAGAGAAAACATCATAAAAGTAGTCCATTGGCCGACTGGGAAACTGGCCCCCAACCCCTTTGTAAATTGCCCATTCCTGCAAACAGGGCTGCTCCTGTCAAGCGGCTTCCTCTCCATACGGGAGTGGCTCTTTTAGCAGAATGACGGTTTCTTGTACGACTATGGGAGCTCGCATGGCGATTTACTGTACTCCCCTGGCATCAAGAGAGTGCTACGGAAGACAGGCAAGCAGGCAAGGGACTTGTGGAAGCAGAAATGCAAACTTCGGAGGTAAGTATGGGCACAATTTGTTCCAACATCACACTGGAGTCACACTATTTGCTGAGGAAGACTGATCATGGAGGTTTGAACACTGCTGGCCCAGCTTAAACGAGTAAGCCATTAGTCTCCCTTTTGATAAACACGTAAGATAAACCTACAGAGAGTATCTGTTTTATGAACCGAACAGTACCAGCTGTGTCCACGAAATTAAATTCCAAAAAAAAAAACTGTTAGAAGATGGATGGATGATTGGCTATGTGTTAATTATTCAGGCAGTAACTGCAAATGCTCTTTTTCTTAACTCTGTGCTTTTTGCAAAAGCTTGGAAACCAAGAGAGAGAATCACAGGAGCTGAGAGAAAGTGAACCTCAGTTACAGACCACATGCTTTGCATGCAGAGGGTCCTCAGAAGGTGTCTTTCCTCTAGGAGGTATCAAGCAAAAAGGCTGGAAAGCTCCCTATCTGGTTTTTCAGAAAATGGTTGCTGGTCAGAGTAATAATACCATCCATCTTCTAACGGTATGGGCACCAACAGTCCAACCCAGTATGTGCCTGCTTCATCGGTTCAGAGAGTTTATCGATATGAACAGAACAGACCAAACTGGGATCGGCAACCTGTGATCCTCCAGATATCATTACGCTGGAGTTCTAATTAGACACAGACAATGGAGTCAGGGACCAACAATATTAGAAGGCCGCAAGCCATCAATACCTGGACCATGTCAGTAAGCCTCTAGAACAGTGGTGTCGAACTGTGGACGAGCCTCTAGAAGCCCTGAGTTCGGACACCGCCCTCATTTCTTCTTTGTGGCCTTAAGATTTGCTTGTTAAACAAACTATAGTTCCTTCTGAAGATTCAAACTAGGTTATCCATTTAACCCAGAGGCCAGTAATTTGTGATTCTCTGGATGTAGCTGAAATGCATCTCTCATGAATCCTTACTAGTATAACCAGCAGTATTGGCCAGTGGGTGTTGCAGTCCAAACTCTGGAGGACTACTCCAAGTTCAAGCTTCAGCTAGTGAATCAGTGAGGATCTGGAACTATGGTTTTGTCTCTGAAGTGCAAACAAACCATAATTCTCCAAGATCCAACACAGTGGGGGGTTGGTGTATGAAGAAACCAGTGGCTGTTCCTGCTCTCCTCCCTCTGGTTACAAAATAGGGCAAGGGAAAGACAGAGCACATACAAACATATCATTTCCCACTCAAACTGAGCCAGCTCGCTCTCGCTCTCTTTTTGAAGTGAAAATAGGCTGCTTAGTAACTTGATGTAAAAGATTGTCTAAAAAACCCCTAAGATGCAAATGGAGTGCAGCTTTGGATTGAATCTTGGCCTTGACTATCAACAGTCTGCCCAATTCAGAAAAATTAAAGCCCAATCCATAGCAGAGCCAAATATATTTACGGGTAATAAATAGGAGGTGGAGAAACCAAACAACTTTGGATTAAACGCAAACTTCAGCCTGGTGACTTTGCTGCAACCACACAGAAAGAACTCTAAGCAAAGACGGATATGGTAACAAACGCCTCGCTGCATGAAGCATATTTATCATAAATATAGCTTCTGCTGGAACATTTTCATTAACAGCTTACCATGAAACATTGATTTAGACTGTTCCTTTATTTCTAACCGTCACGCCAATAGGTTTCAAAGCCTTTCAGAAGCAGTGCCAGGGAAAAGAGGCTTGTGGGGTTTAATTCTAATTGGTTCAACAAGGAAAAGCTGATTAGGTTGGCGAGAAAACTCTGTTCTAAGCAGCTGCCATCAGAGGCTGGTGAAATCCCACTTTTCAATCCCCATCTTCTGCTGATTAGAGGTTATTCTCATCCTGATAATGGATGACCCATTAACAGAAACTGGACTAGCTAGTACTCTGGGTCCCTAGTGGCAAACCACTAAAAAGGAAGAGGTGGGGGAAAGTCTCCAGAGGGTTGATCTCCAGAGCGAGTGTGCCACTGCAGCGATGGGTCTTCAAAGTGCCAACACAACAAAGTGATCCTCTGCATATGTTATATGTGTTGCAAGTACCACACAATTAAATAGCTACCACATTAGGGTGAAAAGCTGAAGTCTGGTCCTTGGTGAACTAGGCATCTACTTGCAGGGAACGTTTTAAGTTTGGACTTCATGATACACAGATCTCTAAAGAGATGTTTTCTCCTTCATTTTGAAGTGGCCCTTTTCTTTCTCCCACCTAAGGACTCCATCACCTTATCCTGCTGCTTGTACAGACCAGGCTCAGTGCTAAATTAACTATAATAATCATATAATCATCATCATCTGATAATTGCAGAGGTAGAAGGGGATCCGATGAATCATGGGAGTCCAGCTCCTGTCAAGGAGGCATAGCGGGGAACCGAACTCCCAACCGTTGAGCTATCCAACGGTTCACTGTATAAGGCCATCAGCTGGTATCTGTTCCAGACAGATCGAAATAAAGAGGTGGTAAAATGGATTGGACCACTTCAAACAGTAAATGAGAGAGGCTTTTCTGAACGCTTCCCACATGGCAAGTTGCTACAAGAAAATACGTTGAGAGAAAAGATTCTAGGCTGGGGCATCCCATGGTCTTCCTAGTTTCCGGTTTGTATCTTGCAGAGTCTTTCTTTTACAATGTTCAAGCATGCAAGCCCACACCTGAAACCTCAAGCAGTAGAGATGAGTCTCCAGTATTAGATTGGTTCAGCAAAAAAAAGGGGGGGAGTGTTATTGGAATGGCTGCAGAACTGTGCATTAAGAACCATCCTGTATGCACAGAAGACAAGGCTTCAGGTAGCTCACATCATAGTAGAAGTAATAAAGTCTCAAGTCCAAGGAAGAGAACACAACACACAAAGGACTGAAAGAAGCAAAGGCCTTGCTCTTTGAGAGTCACAATAAGACCGTGCTCTTCTCACGGATGCTGTATCTCTGGCTGCTAAGTACAGTATCAGCTAGGTATCCACGTCCCGAATCATAAGTGCAGAGGTATAGAGGGATGCTAATGTCTAGGAGCTTATAGCCTCTGTTTTTACAAAAGCTGCACTAATAGTTTATTTCCAGGCACAATTGTAAATTTCATTTCCAAACCTCAGTTCCAAAACTTTTAAGGTGACCACTCTGGTGCTCCAGAGATAGGACGAGGTGGGTTCATGTCAAAATCCCTTGGGTGGCTTTGCGTGGAACTCCCCGCCTAGGGAGATTTACTCTGGCTTTCACATACCCTCTTACAATTGGCCAAAATATTCATTTTCCAGAATGCCTAGGGAGATTTACTCTGGCTTTCACTCTATTTACCCTCTGACAATTGGCCAAAATATTCATTTTCCAGAAATTGATTTCCTTTCCATGTCAGCAAGTTGTTCTGAACCAATTGTTCAAGGCTGTTTTCATCTGCTGTAGTTGTCTTCAATTGCTTTTACTGTGATGCCGAGCCACCCAAAGCACTGTTCTGCAGGGCAAGTGTGTACGTAGGCTATAAATATTTCTAACAATGAATTTATAAAATAAGTCTGATGAAGAACAGAAAGCTGCACTGGATACTGAATTACTCTTCTGTCCAGTCCAGTTTTTCCCCCTTAAAAAACAACAAACAAAACATTCCTAGAAACGTTTTGAAAATAAGAAAGTTTCATGAAAACACAAGACTCCTGCAGGATCTACAGGTATGTACTTTCAACAAATGTGTTGTATCAAGGCGTGATAAACCCATCACTTGGATAATTGGATTATCTGTTAATGGAACTGCTCCTGTCTCTAACGGCACAAATGAATGGTTTTTTAAGAAACAAGATTAGCCAATTGGCACCGTTCCTCTTGTTTAAGACATTAACAGCGGCATAAAAATAAGAAGCAGTCAAAGAAACCAATCAACAACCTCAGTGGCTGCCTTTTGTCTACATGCAGGACATGGATGAAAACGGATATAAAAGCTTGCAACGTCTCTTACAAGTGTAAATATATATTGTTAATGTGAGCTCATATATCAAAAGAATACTGAATAGCTACAGCCAAAAACAAGCTCTATGATTAGGCATTATGCCTGCTGCTGAATTTTGGGTTTTTGATTGATGCCTGCATGATTAGGGAAGGAAAGATGTAAGGGATAAAGCACTCAACTGGTAAATTATGATCCCCTGTCTCTCGGAACATCCTTAACTACAGGATTCATTGAAGAAATATGTAATCAGAGCTAAAGTTTTCAATATAATGGATTGTAAAATCAACACGGCTACTAGCTGAGGAAGGGGGGAATCTGTTGTCTAGAATCTTAGAAGCAGATCTGGGCTATTCTCCCTCATCGTCTCCTGCTTTGTCTTAAGGTGTGACCAAAAACATATTAAATTTAGATCACTCTGAAAGATCTCGCAGTGCCTTGAGCTCTTTGAAATCTTTTTCAATTGTCTACAATGGCTGCTCCTAACATTGTTCCCATTACGTTGACCCCATCCTAGACACTGACCCATGCTCAAGTTTGTTACCTAGATACATCTGGCTCCAGAACTCATCATTCAGACGATGAGGGTTTGATTGCTCAATATTACTGAACTAATTCAGTGATCAAAATCAACATAAAACTTTACTGTAGAAGTAAGGGGATAACAAGGTCTTCTACCAGGCAACAAAAAGACCAGTTTGCAGACAATGTTCCCAAGACACATAAGCAGTCTTGGGGAAACTTAGAAACATCTCTTGCCTGTAAATTGTCCTATATTCACAAACATATATCTTTATAAAACAAAAGGAATGATGCTTAATAGAGTAAAAAAGAAATCATACGTAGGTGTTGGAGACTGAAAGCGGCATTAAGCAAGCAGCCAGGCAGATGAACAAACAAAATAACTTTAATAGGGACGGACAAGATGACAGCAGCCTATTAGCAGCAGAACAAAGGAGAACAAGTAGAAGATGCCGGTCCCTTTTTAAGGTTTAAAGTAGAAAGATGCTGCATTCTGGAAACACCATGATTATCAGCAACACAGATGGGAAACGTCAAAAATATTTTTACAGAAGTCTTTGGCAGATGCTTGAAAACAGCTTGATCAAAATGGTTACAAGACAAATGAATATTTCAGGAGCCTGCACACATAGGATTTGGAAAACAGTATGCTTCTAGAAAGATGCTGCAACGCCTGCTTTCCCAAATATCTGTGGCAAATGAGAAATATTGTGTGTGTTCATGTACACACACACAAACACACACAAACACACACACACACACACCAGCAACTTTTTCTCAAGAAGGACCCCAAAATAAAGGGTCCAGACTATCAGCGGATTCAAGGCCAACTTCTAAAGGAGTCGAAGTGGAGGGAGGGGTTTTTTTGCAACTACTGTATATAGTTATGGCTCCATATGGCTCTTTTTAAGGTTTTTTTTTAAGCAACCAGGGTTACACTTCAGGTTCAGGTTAATGGGCCCAAATACTATTTTTGAGACTTGGAGAGAGAATTCAGGCTGGACTAATGTCGTATTAAGGGGATTCTAAACCATTCCCTAGAGGAAAGGCTTTTAATGCAAGTCAGCAACTGACTTTTTTTTTCATGCATTGATAAAAGGGAAGGTCTGGAGTTTGGATTAAGAGCAAAATGCATGCATGACACCAAGCCAAACTTTCACTCTGCTGTCTGAATGGTTTCTTCCTTCAGTGTACTTCTGAACATTTTAAATTTGGTTTGCAGTATTCTGTTTCCAAAAGACAAACTTCTGGTTTTTGACCTTGACACATGCTCTGATTCTGATGAAAGACTGAACTCTTGACACTAAAAAAAAAATATTGTTCAAGGTCTACAGAAACTGTTCAGTTTACTCACCAACATAATTTTAATGTGAACTAAAGTGACAAAAGGAAACATCTAAAATTAATGGAAGTATTTCCTTTTTATTGCAAGGAGAGGCTTACAAATACATAAAGCTGCACAGCCTCCTACTTGACTCCCTTAATGTTACTGCACAATGAAATAAATGCACTGAGCCAATACAGAACTTATATATATAAAACACAACTATCACTGTGACTTCTTTTTTAGTCTACAGTATTTGTAAGCTATTTTCCCAGGGAAATTATTACAGTTGTCATCGAAAAGGCCACTGTTCTACTGACTTCATTGCTAATGGAGCACAAAGAGAAGTAACATATAATTTCAGAATTTTATTTCAAGAGGGTATGGGTAATAAAAAGAATCCAGTTACAAAGATTATTGGTATTCCTAACATCGGAGCAGACCAACCATGGAAGGCTTACATTGCCTTGAAGTCTGCAATGATTCAGCTACATGAACCATTAGATGTACTTGTTCAAACACTTCTGGAATTAAGACGTACAGCCTGATATTCAGAGTTATATTTAAACCTACAGGGTCAGCAACTTGATAGCTGAGCATGATGGAGCAGGAAAAGGAGACATTTTCAGTCTAGGAAGGAGATATTAACAAGGCAGGATATAAACTATACACACATATACACCCCCATTCCATACCAAAGTAAAATAAATTCTGCACTCCGATGAGACTAAGTAGAGAAATAAACATAACTACATAAGTGGAAATTGTTCATATGCACTGGGCAATCTATGCAATGCTATTTATGCTGTCAGATGCTCCCTTTGAACAGGAAACCATTTTTTCCCAAATTACTCTCAATTAGGAATGCTTAACTATCTATCTCCCAACAGGGCTTCTGAGGTGCAAAGCATTCACAATTGGCTCATCGTTGATTGTTTTATACTCAAACTAACTCTTGTTAGTGTTGTGTAGGAATCTCAACTTATTAACAGAGTTGAGTCGCTTAATGATGTCGCTCTCAGCAATCGAAATATACACAGACCCCCAAAGCTGCCAAATGCTAGGAAAAATTGGAGGCAGTAGGAAGATCAAATATAAGATGGATTGACTTGGTAAAGGAAGCCTTTACTTTGCAATACCCAAGCAAGGCTGTCATTGTTTGGCTTTTCTGGGGAGTAGTTCATAATGCCTTGAGAGGCAAATGACTTCATTGCACATAGCTGCAACGCAGATGTGCGAAGCATCAGCCTTTAAAGATTTCCACTATGAGTTGACCAGGAGAGCACCTTCATGGATTAATGTCTGCATCACAGCGTTAGTTACCCATCAGGTTTTATATTTCCCAAACACTCCGATGCAATTCTTGGCTCAAAAACATACCAAGATATATTTTAAGAAGCAGACTTTGAGATAATATATAAGGACAAGATGTATCTGAGAGAAAACAAATTTAGAAAGACATCATTAAATGTGAGTTTTCATGCACACCTTTTTACGCGAAAAATGGAGCAGACTACAGTTATGGATAAGGGAACGTGGTGGCGCTGCGGGCTAAACCGCAGAAGCCTCTGTGCTGCAGGGTCAGAAGACCAAGCAGTCGTAGGATCGAATCCATGCGACGGAGTGAGCGCCCGTCGCTTGTCCCAGCTCCCGCCAACCTAGCGGTTCGAAAGCATGCAAATGCAAGTAGATAAATAGGGACCACCTCGGTGGGAAGGTAACAGCGTTCCGTGTCTAAGTCGCACTGGCCATGTGACCACGAAAGATTGTCTTCGGACAAAACGCTGCCCCCTAGAGTCGAACACAACTGGACAAAAATTGTCAAGGGGAAATTTTACCTTTAACTTACAGTTATGGATGAGCGAACACAAACGAGGAAAAAAGGCAAAGCAACCATCCCTACCTTGAATGCAGTTCAGTGCTACCATTGTTGTATTTGCTTCCTCTTTCCCACACGCCAAAGTCTGGTACACGGTAAGCTCTTTCAACACAAAACACAAGATTCTGTATGAAGGCCACCTAGGAGAAGGGGACAGTGGGAAACAGGTAGAAAGGTGAAGTAAAGCTTGACTGTGGCGGTATTTTTATCCCCTTGTATTTAAAAGAAAGTGTAACATTTGGGAGAGGGCCTTCTCTGTGGCTGCTCCCAGACTCTCGAATGCCCTCCCAACAGGAGCCAGGCTGGCCCCATCTTTGCTGTCCTTCCGCAAGGAGGCGAAGACTTTTCCCTTTGGGTGATCCTTCCCTCAGTCACTGGCTGCCTGAATGGGTTTTTTAAATGGACTGTTGTGCACGTATTACTGCTTTGAATGTGCTTTTAGTGTTTTTGTTTACTGTGTTTTAGTGTGGCATTTTTTAAAATCTTTTTCGGTCTTTGTATACTTACTGTTCTTAGCTTTAAATACTGTCTTTCAATGACGTAAGCCACCTTGGGTCCTTTTGAAGGAGAAAGACGGGATAAAACCATTTATAAGAAATATATAAATAAATGGTTGATACCTTTCTGTCCAATTCACACTACTGCTGCTATGGGGCATAAGTCAAGACATATACAGAACAAAAGAGGAATAGACTTATTTTAATGATGGCAGTTTTGCACATCAAGTACTCAGGTGTTATTCCCCTGTACCTTATATGACTCAACAACTAGGACAAATCTTTTTCACCTCTTTCTTAAAAGCATTACAACTTGGAACGTCAATCTTTTCCATTCCTCTTCTGGTGCAATTCCAATTGAAGGAATAAAATGCAGCACTGTGCAATCTCTGTTTTGAGTCCCTCCCTCCCTTCTCTTTCTTCTGCCGTTCGCTAGACAGTGGGACAAATCCATGTTCTCATCTTACTTAGTGGTTGTTTCTTTTTTTAACAACTATTTCATACTTAGAAGTAGTCTCTGGTCAGTCCAGGCCCCTACAGAGTTTTTCTAAAAGACCATGTGAATAGTTTACTTTCAGTTGACAGCCTTTTCTTCCTGTCTTAATTGCTCAATTAGAACAAGCACATCTGATGTTTACAGAAGGAAATTTGAAATATTAGGCCAGAGACCTGCTGTATAAATGCCACCACGTATGGGCTCCTGCATATGATCAAAATGTTAGCCTTAAAATAAGGCACCGGCAATAGCCAGCTGTTTGCAAGGAGTTAACAAACATTGGTGTTCCACACAGAGAAACAAACTCCATTAACTTTCCTCAACCATTTAATCTTGCTCAGCATTTTCATCTACTACTGGAGGCAGCTCATTTACCTCCGAGGGAAAAAGAAGTAATAAGGAACTGCTCTGCTGCACTCAATCGGCGCAGCATCCTGCCGAAGTGAATTATCGAAATGTGAATAAAGCAAATAGTAGGGGAAAGGGAGGGGGCGCTCCCAAAGAAGTCTTCAAACATCAAAACAGTGGCATCGGTATTGAAACCAAGCCAATTCAAGCAAAGCCAAAACCAGTTGTGAGTGAGCAGGAAATTCAAAGTGACATAACATCCAACTGGGCAACTGTCTTTATTACTTCTCTAACTGCTGGACTGATTTTCCAACAAGCAAAGAAGTGATCCTGTACAGTGGGAGGTACTAGAGTGAAAACTATGTACCAGCCAGTGCCTGATTCAAATCTTATCCTAGCCATAAACTCAGCAGGCAGCATCAGAGGAATCCCTGCCACTCAAGTCCTTATCTGTAAAGGTAATTAACAGTATTTACCTCCTTTCCAAAGTTGTTGCAAGGATGTGAGGATTACTGAGATAATCAGCAATGTCTGGTGAGGCTGTTTGGCAACAGAGAAGACAGTATTTCTGTCCATATTTTTCAGTGTTGGTGGAAGGTGGACAACAGTCGAGTTAATAACCACCCTGTTACGGACAGCCAATACTGGCAAGGATGAATATACATATACAGTGGTGCCTTGCTTAACGATTACCTCAACGACGAAACCGCTTGACGATGAAGTTTTTGCGATCACTTTTGAGATCGCAAAATGATGTTTAGATAGGGAAATTTTGCTTGACGATGATCGGTTCCCTGCTTCGGGAACCGATTTTTCACTAGACAACAATTTTTAAACAGCTGATCGGCGGCTCTAAAATGGCTGCCCGCTGTGCAAAAGGGCTCCCCGCTGTGTTTTAGGATGGATTCCTCGCTTTACAGGCACCAAAAATGGCTGCCACTATGGAGGATCTTCACTGGAAGCTGAGGTATTTAGCCCATTGGAACACACTGAACCGGTTTCAATGCATTTCAATGGGCTTTTTCGTTTCACTTGACGAGGATTTCGCTTAACAGCGATTTCAACGGAACGAGTTATCCTCGTCAAGCGAGGATAGGAAGTTGTGCAGATATGTTTGTGTGCATTTCACGAAAAATGTTTTGACCAGCCCTGGGTGGAGGACCTCTCTGCATCTCCACCACTGCCCAAAGGTCATGACATAAACATTTTGCTCCCTTTCAAACACCACTGTGGCTGGTGGTGGTTTAAGTCCTAGCAAACTCATTACTGGCCACTGGCAGAGATAGTGTATGTGAAACACTCTGAACAACCAGACCAAGCTATTTTAATAGCATTGGTAATATTATCATCACCTTAAGTATGATCTTTGCCACATGCTTCAGCATAATAACCAGGTTAGATATGATAAAGGCGATCTACAATTATGACTGCAGTTAGAGATTGTCTGTTGCATGTGTATTCTTTAAATGGATAGCAGCCATCGAGGATGGAAAGCACGCTGAGTTAAACACCTAAAGGAGATTGGCTAGACCCATAGACTTATTATGACTTAATAATAATAACAATAATAATTAAAAAAACCCTAAGAAGCTGCTGCTTTTTCAACAACAAAATTTAAAGGTTATCTGTAAACCTGCAATTTACCTATTAAGCCAATCAAACAAGTGGTCATTTTAATCAGGAAATTAACTTGGAGGAAAGTGGTTGGGACTACATTTCGCCTTCATTCCCTGTTGTTGTTGTTTTTATTTTATTTTATTTTTACCAATGGAAGACTGTAATTAAAGAATTCCAACTTCATGTCCAGTTTGGGTTACAGACTTGTTACACATTACTGACTTGCAATGTGTTATTATGATGACTTTGCATTTCAGACGAAGATTCAAAATTAGGAAGTAAAGGCTTAAGAAAAAAAACATATGAAATGAGATCAGGAATTGTTTGATTTATGGTTATCTCTTAATAGGACGTTGTGCAGATATGTTTGTGTGCATTTCACACTCGTAGTATATCTAAGGGAAGATTAAGAGCGCCATTCATTTTAGTGGTCAGCATCCCTGGTAGTCAATTTTTTTAAAAAAGTGAACAAAGTAAATGCCATAAAATAACGCAAACCTATAATACATAACATCTAATTCCACTAATGCAACCAATATTCCTGTTGAGATGAAAGCTCTTGTGGTATTTTGAAAGGCAATATAAAGGCAGTTATTTTTATTTATTATCCAAATCAATTCATGTGGAATTCACAAGGCGCTCCAAGATGAAAACAGCAAGAAAGAAAACAGGCACATTTAAATGACAGGTTGACTAGCTGCCTTCCATGACAACACCATAGATTTTGGGAAAAGACAGAACTATGTCATATTTATTTCCAATTCCTCTTTCCAAATAACTCTGAAAACAGCTCCTACTGAGTTAGATTATTTTATCTTCACGGCAACTCTGATCAGGAGCTATCTGCCAACGGCGGCCCGCAGAACTTCATGACGGAATATCAATTTGGACCATGGTTTCCATGCCCAGAAGGGTTAAACTGCAGAAGCCTCTGTGCTGCTAGGTCAGAAGACCAGCAGTCGTAAGATCGAATCCACACGACAGAGTGAACTCCCGTTGCTTGTCCCAGCTCCCGCCAACCTAGTGGTTCAAAAGCATGCAAAATGCAAGTCGATAAAGAGGTACCACCATGGTGGGAAGGTCACAGCATTCCGTGTCTAGTCACATTGGCCACGTGACCACGGAAGATTGTCTTCAGACAAACGCTAGCTCAGACAAACGGCTTGGAAACAGAGATGAGCACCATGCCCTAGAGTCAGACACGACTGGACAAACTGTCAAGGGGAACCTTTACCTTTACCTTTTGAACTACAATTCAAAAGTCTGAGTGTTGGGCAGGATCCCATGTATCTCTGCTGCTCAAATCTTCTGGTGGAAACCCTGTGGTGGAAAATGTAGGCCCAAGGGCAATGGCCAGCGGTTCCCTCCCTCCCGTGGCCCGGGCCGTCCTGTTCAGGGGAAAGAAGTCCCCCACCCTGCTCTTGCGCGACCTGCTTCCCCAGCAGGATTCTAGCGTCTGAAATGGCACTCACAAAACAGGTGGCTCTAATTCCACCTTTTTAAAGGGGCTTGTAAGAACAGTTCAGTGTTTTTCTTTGGGGTTCAGAACCGGCTGTCTCATACCTCATCTGTATTATAGATAATCTGAAGACCAGATGATATCATTTCCACCAGGTAGAGGAGGAAGAGCGACACGGCATTTATCTAAAGGAAGGGGGGAGGAAAAAGACAGAAGTGAAGCACCAGGTAAAGAAATACCCCTAAAAGGAGAAAAAAACAAAACACCAAATCGTCCTATACATTTCATGTTATGTTTTGTGAAGAAGCCATGTCAATAAACAGAAGTGGCTAAAAGGCAGCTGTCAAGAAGGTGTGAAAATAACAGTAACAGAAGGAGCTTTAATGTATACCCTGCACTGGAAAGGGTCTATAAGCTTCACCACACCAAACACTGGTGAGCTTGCTCTTGTAATTAACTGTCATCTGTCTGAACAGCACCTTCATGACATAAAATACAGTCGGGGGATGCAAGAAATGCCCTCAACAAGTAGCATTTGCAATGGCTTCCCTGACATCTTTTTAGGGGGGGAAATCTACTTACACGTCAGAGGAAGTAGATGTATCCACAGAAGCTCGCGTCGAAATATGACAGTTAATCTGTAAGGTGCCATTACATTCATGTTTTCTGTTCTTTGTCTTTTGTTGCTGTGTGGAGCTGCTGGCAACTGTTTGCCTTGCAATCATTATTGTGGCCATTTCAGTGCTATTGTTTGCAGTAAGATTTACAGCAAAGAGCCAGACTACAAAAGAGCTTGCTGTTATTGGTATGTTAAGGCAGGAAAATCAATTTGCCCGGCTCCACAGTTTGGCACATCTTTAAAGAACTCCAGTCTTTAACGAAACAGCAGGAGAAAACAGCATCTGCCAAAGCCACCAGTCTTGGAAGCATGCGGAAGAAATGGAGTTCATGTTCATACCTGAAGGTGTCCGTATTCCTTGTGAGAAAAGACCTCATCACCAGTGTGGGCACCGAACACAGAATGCAGGCATTTGGATGGCTTAGGATCTTGCTTATACTGTTGAACCTTTGGGCAGGAAATGCGAAAATAGAGATAAATTATAATCCTAAACAAAGATAGTCAAGCTTCTACCAGTGAATCATCACAAGCCACTGATACCCAGTAATTCGGGATAATACCCAGTGTGGTGTAGCAGAAAGGGTGAAGGACAGGGACTCAGGAAGCTGGGTTTGAACCCTGATACATCCATGGAAATTCACTTGAGGGGTTGCAGAAGTGATAAAACCAACCCTGAAAATATCTCACTTACCTTAAAAGCTCTGTTAGAGTCACTGTGACCTGGTTCTAAATCGACGGCACGCAACACACACACACACACACACACACACACACACACACACACACACACACACACGCACGCACGCACGCACGCACGCATGCACACACGCACACACACGCACGCACGCACGCACGCACAGAGCAACAGTGTTATATATACTTAGGCAGCTACAGCAATACAGACCGTGTTCTGAATATATATAGCATTAAACAGGCAGGATCCATTTTCGTTCTAGCCTACAACTTACAAAGTAATAACACACAAAAAAAGGCAACAGGTCCACCTGTTAACTTAATACTTCCTCCAGACAGGTTTTTAACAATCTAAAATGGCCTTCTGTACTGATGGATAGGAAAATACGGCTTTTATGGAGTTTTCCACATGGTAACTGGAAAATGTTGTTTCATAGCTTTGGCCAGCATTTCAATTATTATGCATTTGCTTATTTGACAGCTCCACATGCAGCTTAATAAAAAAAATCTGTAATAAAGCACAGTCTCAAATGCCTATTGACAAGGGGAGGAGTCTGAACACATAAAACCTGCTCCTCCTCTCTCCAACCAAGGCTTATAACCTCCATTGTTTCCTATTTTTTCCTCTGTCCAAACAGAAAGGGGAAAGAGAATGTACAGTCATTAATTAGCAGAATGGTTCACCTCATCGATTTCTAGCGCAGGAAGTGAAACCAAGTAATTTGGCAGCTTACACCAATGATTTATCATCATGATTCAGGCAGCATTCTAACCTTGTCCCATCTCTTTTCATTCCATCTCCTCATCCGTCTTTATTGCTGCTTAGCCATATGCCATTCCAACTTATCTGGCCAACTTTCTAAACTTTTAACTATTAGTAAAAGCATCAGATTTTGTGTAGAAGCCATAAAACAGGAAAAGGCAGATCAAGGGAGATCAATGACTCCAATACACCGCACATTTCAAACAAATACCCAAGACGACACAGAACACAAATAAAGCAATCCATATACGTCTCCTAAAATACAGGAGCAGCAGCAGCAGCAGCAACTTTTAAAATGCCATCATCCAAAGAGCCTTATCGACGTTAGACAGCTACGGGCACCTTAGATCACAAGGAAGAACAGCCCTCACAATGTGACTCATCCCACGCATCTCGAATAATATCATAATCCCTTTCTCACTGATATTGCGCTTATTCAGCTTCAGTCATGCTAGCAATGCTTAGATCACCCTTCTCCAATGTGCTGTTCTTCAGATGTTTGGGGGGCTGCAAGAATATCTAACCTTTAGCCGCTGTCGCTCATTTGAGTTGAAGTCCACAATATCGGGAGAACAGCAGTCAGGAAAGCTACCTTACAGAACACATGGATTTTGCTGTTTAAGACTATAGAGCAGTGGCTCCCAACCTTGGGTCCCCAGATGATCTTGGACTAAAGCTCCCAGGAGCCTTCATGACTAACTGTGCTGGCCAGGATTTCTGGGAATTGTAGTCCAGAACATCTGGGGACCCAAGGTTGGGAACCACTGTTCTAGACGAAACAAACATATGTGCTCCACAGTCTAACAAGCCTGCAGCCTTAATATGGGACTCATACCGAACTGTTCATAACTAATAAGTGTGGTAATTATGTGGGACCAGAGAAAGGTATGGTGACACAGGACAGAGCTGGAGGAACGCCTTTTCCTACCTAGGTCTACTCGAATCACTCGATATAGCCAGGAAAGACGGCTGAGGGGCCTAACACCACGGGAGGCCCAGAAAGAAAGAACAAGAAACCAGGCCTTCTCGGCAGTGGCCCCTCGACTTTGGAACAGACTCCCTCGCTGGGTGTTTTTAAGAGCCAACTGAAGACCTGGCTCTTTAGGCAAGCCTTCCCCCATGTCACTTCCTGATTTTTTTTTCTTTCCACTGTCTATACTGATTTCTATCTTTCCATCTTGAACGTTACCAATATTGCTCTTTAAATTGTTCCTTTTAATTATGGTTTTATGCTATTTTATTGCAAGCCACCCAGAGTAGACGTAGTCTAA